TGTACGAGGCGCCTATAGGTCCATTGAGTCATAATCTGCCCGTGCTATTACTTTATATCAGAACACATTCTGCTGATTTAACTTTTTCACCCTTTGACACACTTTAGGGTGCTGCATTAACTCTCTCCTTAAAGTACTTTTGCTTACTGTTCTCTGTGTGATACAAGGTGTACTATGAGCCCATGCTGAAGTTGGACATCCTGACAGAGAGTGAGCGTGGACAGATCTTTGGTACGCTGGACTCTCTCATTCCTCTCCATCAAGGTAAACCGTGTTTCTGCTTTGAACTCTCTCCATTATCAGCCTCTTAGTTTCCTAATCATGTATAAGGCATTCAGAGCTAAATAAAAAAATCTGGGTAAATATTGTCGCTTGTTGGATTTCATTGTTTCATTATTGTATCTGTTAACTTCACACACTGTATATTCAAATATTATAGTTTGTCTTTCATAAAATGCATGACAGTGGACCAACACTGAATTGAACCCTGTCACAATAGATTTAGCAAATATGTCCCAGATGTCGACATACAGTACATTTTGTGAATGTGGTGACATTGATGTGTTGAAAAAGACCTACAAAAAAAGCCTCTAAAGGATCCCTTTATTTAATTCAAGATGCCTGGCATAACTGAGTGAGAGATGGCTGATTATGCTTTTTTAGGCAAAGGAACATGAAGGAGTTTAATGTTCATCTGTCTCTGAGCTGTACTTACCCTGGTATTCATTTGGCAAATATCAATACAACAGTTTGAGTGTATTTTTATTTCCTACCAGATCTTCTGAGTCGCCTTGAGCGGCTGCGGGGATCAGAGAAGACAGTCGGGCAGGTGGGGCCTACTCTAATGGACTGGGTGAGTATTTCCATGGTTACCAAGGACTGATAGAGCATAAGATAAAATGGCACAGCCTCCTTCACTCTTTCTAGTTCCTGTATTTACTCTATCGTGTTCTTCTCTAAACCGGAGCCACAGAGTTCAGGCTGGCTTTATCTCACCGCACGTTTCTTCTCATTGCTCATCACTCCTCCCCTCCTCCCCTCCTCCCCTCTTCCTCTCTGCAGTTTCCTTGCCTTGAGGCCTATGTTACGTACTGCTGTAACCAGGTGGGCGCTAAAGCCCTGCTGGACCAGAAGAAGCAGGAGAAGCGGGTGGAGCACTTCCTGCGCCTGTGCCAGGAGTCCTCGTTCAGCAGGAAACTGGACCTGTGGAACTTCCTGGATCTCCCTCGGAGCCGCTTGGTGAAATACCCCCTGCTGTTGAAAGAGATACAGAAGTGCACGCCTCCCGAGCACCCGGATGAGGACTCATTGCCTGATGCTGTGAGTTGGAGACACACAAATTCATGTCAATCTTTTCTAAAAGGATCTATATTATCTATACTTTGGCTTTTAAGGCAAGATGTGTGTTGCTTTAAATATACCAGTGTTTTCTTGAAATTTGCTAATACTATGTTGTTTTTACATACCCAAAAATACTCGTATTGCTTATTTCATTATATTCACAATTACTATAATAATAATAATAATAATAATTATACGTGTATTTAGTATAGCACCTTTCACAGAAATAAAATTGTGCTTCACAAGAAAGAACACAAGTTAAAATTAAGACCACAGAAACATGAATTCAATAACAACACGAGGCAGAAATGAAGGTTAACATAAAAACAAAACACAGACCACGTAGAGTCCCGAAAGGAACAAACATAAGAACATAACACATCACACACATCTCCAGTAGAAACAAAAGCTTCTGCAGAGACTGCAGAGCGGATGTCTATAGTGGTTAAAATGTCTGTATTAGTAGTACTAGACACAACATTTGTCTGGCTGACTGTGGACACACTTACACAAATTATTAAGACCTAAGACTGTAAATCAGTCAATACAAAATTATTATTTTGCATTTAGGCTTTGTAACCTTTAGGTTTTTTTCTCCTATAATGAAATCCATCAGACTGAAAAATGTGACGTCCAGGCATTCGGCTTTAGCTAGTAGTTCCTTTATAATGTAAAACACTTTGCACATTGGCGCCTCCAAATGGTAGCAAAAGATATTGTTTTCTGAAACATGAACTGAGGTGATCCTGTGATGTGACATCATAGTTCAAAAATAAAATGGTCTGTATCTGTATTTTTTGAGGGATGATAAGTTTAAAAATATGTTAAGGAGAACGTTTTTGATTGAATGCCTTTAGTATTATTCTGTGGACATTAAAGGCTCACAAACAGGATGTTACTATTGTAAACATATCTTCCTTTGCTGAAATATACATGTCTTAATCAAACCCAGATCTCAACTCTAAATGTACACCTTAAATACATTCATTTAAGACTATCTGTTGTTGTGTTCAGTTGGACATAATCCAGAGCATCGTGGCTGAGGTCAACAAGAAGACCGGAGAGGCGGAGTGTCAGTTCTACAGGAGACGTCTCGCATACATTGAAGACAGCCAGAGACTACAAGAGATCCAGCTGTCCCGCTTCCTCTACTGCCATGGAGAGCTCAAGAACAACAAGGGCCAGGTAGCACCTCTATTTATAGACCTTTGGTTATCCTGAGGTTGTTGTTTGCACCTAAACATAACTTACTCTGTATACTTACAGACCTTTGCTTCTCTCTGCCTCACTTAAGATTGTTATCTTTTGCCCTTAATACAAACCTTGTACCTTACCCTTTATTTTTGCACTGTGTATGATCTGCTTTTGTTACCTGGCCCAAGATATGACATTATATCTGATTAATAGATGCATTTTGACCTACATTTTGTTTATAGCTGTTCAAATATTGTAGTAAATATTTCCGTTAGGCCATATCTCTGACTTTGCATGTGTGTGTCCTCTGTCAGCGGCTGCATGTATTCCTGTTTGAGCTGGCCCTGGTGCTATCCAGGCCGACGGAGGACAAAGATGGAGGTCAGGTGTTTCATGTCTACAGACAGCCTCTGCCCAATTACTTGATAAACCTGGAGGAGATCCCAGATGGGGAACCTGGTGGAGGGGGGTCCTTCAGGGGAGCCTTTACTGGAGGAAATGACAAAGGTAACATACTTATAAGATAGATCAATATTTATATATTTATGGATTAAACTATACATGAAAAAATCATCAGTTTCAAGTTCACATTCACAAAGTAACATTGAGTTTCTTTGTTCAAAACCCGCAAATATATAAAGATATACCAGAAAAGCATTAAGTGGTCTTTATTTAGAATCTATGACCAGCAAATAGTTGGTATCAGTGATGAATGACCAAAGTCTAAACGATTGTTGTTCTATTGATTGGTTGAATGATCAATTGTTTCAGCAATTATTTGAGCTGTTATTTTTACATTGATTATTATTATTGTTATTAATATATACGTTTTGCTATGTTTCTGGTGAAATGAGGATTCAACATTCAATTTAGGCTACAACAAAGCCTATAGATACAGAGAAATCAATGCCACTTCACTAGTTGAATTTCTTGAAGTGAAACCGACAAATGTACTTCCACTTAATTTACTCCCTCCTCTCCTCCATCTCTCTATCTCCCAGTGAAGAACTGTTTCCGTGTGAGCAGCAGGGGGCGCTCCAAAGCTCACCCTTACAGCCTGCAGGCCAACGACTCCTTCAGCAAGCAGCAGTGGATCACCTGTCTGCGGCGGGCCATCGTCCAGTCCCGGGACAGGACCTCTCTGAGCAGCCAGTCACAGCTCTGCCTCCCCCCCGACCCCATCCTGTGTCACATAGCCGACCTCAGCCTCAGCTCGGACACAGACATGGCCGACCATAACAGTCACTGAAGACAAGGAGGCCCGGGGAGTGTCTTTCTATCTGTACATTGACATTGGAGAGAATAAAATATGGACTGTTAGTGAAAGATCATTGTGCTTGGACAGACATATAGAATTTCCTGCATGGATTTTGTATTTTCTTGCATTTGCTGAAGTATTGTGTATTTGTGGTGATGATAACTGTACAGCTTGAGAACAGTATTTTCTGAATGTGAATTCACAGTGTAAAATGTTTTCATAGATTCTTTCTGTTTAATTTTTTAATAAATAAACTGACACTTGAATGTTTTTCTGAAGTACACATGGCAAAGTCCGCATACAATTATCTAAGTATAGCCAACAAGATCCACAAAGAAAAGATTAGTGTTGATTATCCTCCCTCCCTTTCTCCCTCTCCCTCTTCCTTTCTCTCCCCCTCTCTCTCTGACACCGGTGACAGGGCAGGACAGAGGTAGACTTTCAGTTCTAGCCTTCAATACACAGTGAAACAGTAGCCGTGCCCTTATGCATTTTTAACAGCTCAGCAGGTGATGGGAACAGTTTGGTTGGGACAGTTTGTCCACAGATAGAGTGACCAAATAAACAGGTGAGTCAAAACTGCTTTAATGATTTTACTAATGCTGCCATTAGTTTGTCAGAAATGATTTTCGCACTTACTTTGTTTGCAATATTGTACCATTTATCTACGCCTAACAACAATGACTTGGCTAGCTGCGACAGCGGATCAAAACATACCTTTGTTGTGAGATTCTGCATATTCTGTTTCATGTTGTATATTCTTAAGGTAATGTGCACTTGATGGAAGTTCTCTATAATTGACCTCTCTTTGTAAAGATGTGCCCTGAACCTGATATGTTTATATCTGGCTGCATTGAGGTGTCTGTCAGACCTTGACTTTCCTAGCTGTCCTGCAAGCTGTAAATACGAGAGGGAATTGCAAGATGGATCAACTAGATCTATTCAAAATAAGGATTTACCTTTAAGGGATTCTCAGTCACAAATCAACCCTGTTCTTTTCCCCTCAGCTGTTAATGACACTCCTTGTCATTTCCCTGGAAAAAAAGAGGACTTTCTTATGAACTACAATCACAGTCTGCTCACCTTTATAAACACCTGCGAATAAACAGAGGTGGTGCAAACCGCCTGGCGTTTTTCTTTTTGGGAAGCCCTTCTTTATGTCCTAGGAGACACAATACACGCTTCCAAAGTGTAGTAGTAAAATAGGATGCCCGGAGCTAGTGGTGTCAATGCTGAGGGGTCTTGTGAGGCCTTGTGTCGAACCCTTGTCTCCCAGAAGGGCCTGCAGCGAGAGACGGCTGACATCTCCCATTCTGTCCTCTACACCTCACTGATGGGCCTGCTTCTGGTCACCGACAACGAGGTGAGAAAAACACAACTAAGCATAAACCCTTGATGTATGGTAAAACCTTTAAGTCTTGCACTTAAAGGTCAAATTCGGGACACTGGAGAGAAAAACATAAACAGATTGAGATTGTGAAAAATAATTAATGGAGAGTACACGCTGACACACACGTGTTTAAGCAGCTGTCAGCACTCCTTGGTCTCTAATAGGATGAATGCTTCAGGCTGACCTCCTTTTAGCCTCTCTTGTTATGCTGTTGGGATAAGGAGGCTAAATCTGTCCTACCAATGCTGTACATTCACTGACACGGCAGGGTTAAGACAGAGAGAAAAGTAGCATGGTTTACAGACACAGCCAGGGGTGAAATAACGGGGCAAATATGCACCTGAACACACGTGTACAAAAATGTAAATAGGGTGTATACTTGAAGACAAAGTTTGGGTCAATAGCTTCTTGTGTTGTCATTTTTTCCCAGAAAGAGAAGCTCACCGTAGGAAGTGGAAGAGTTGGCCTTAAAAACATAGGAAATACAGTAAGTGCTTAGTAATGCATTGTGGCCTTAATTAAAGTCCTTTATGGCTAACTAAAAATACATTTTGCCATAACAAGCTCACTTTCCCTTTTGCTTTGTCTTCAACTTAGTGCTTCCTGAACGCAGTAGTCCAATGCTTGTCTCACACGCGTGGCCTTCGGGACTACAGCCTCCTCAAGTCCTACAGGGATGACAAGTTCTCCAAAGAGGAGATTAAACTCATGGAAGGTAGGTTCCTCTCTCCTGTCGTTGCCTCCTCTTCCTGCTATGTTTTCATTTTTACTCATTTAGTGGGAATGCTGATACAGCATTCCAACTACTTGTTCTTCGACGCACACAATTCTTTATTATTCATGACAAACGTAGGAAAACATCTCGTAGCTTGAAAAATAAAAATAGATTAAGCAAAAAATAATTAAACAAAATGCCTCTTGAGGGCATGAAGTGACAAAAACTTTCAACATGTCTCCATTAAACCCCATTGTAAGTTCAGCCTCATCTTTCCCCACCACAGCAGCCGCACACCTTTAGTTAATCTGCCAAAAAGGCCACATTATTAACCCGAAAGTACACAAAAAGTACACTTCAGATGCTCAAGTTCCTTGACATGCTTCACGCTTTGAAATTTCACCGATATCTGTTACGGATCTTCAACAAAATGTTCACATGTAAGAGGTTTATCTCTCATTCAGAACAATGAAAATGCTCTCCTCTCACTGATTATTGCACATCACCATGGAAACCTTTGATCTCTGGACACGTCGTTAGCTCAAATATAAACACCTGTGTCATGGAACACGATGATGTCATAACTCCAACTGACATGCTCAGAGCAGCAGATTTCAGATAATGGTTAACACAGCTCTACATCAAATCTGATGCTCCGTAATGTGGTGTTACTATGGCAACGCATCCCTCGCCATAAAACAGCAGCAGACTTCAGATGGTTAATGGTCCTGCCCTCAACAGCTCTACGTCAATTATGGGGTGTCTTCATATGCCGTTTCCATGGAAACTCATCCCTCGCCATAAAACACGATGTCGCTGTAACTCCAATGGACACGGTCCGATCGTCCCCCAAACTTCGCTTGTATATCACCGGTCCATGCCTCAACAGCTTTACGCCACATCTGAGATCTCACCATAGGCTGTTGCCATGGAAACGCATCCCTCGCCATAGAACACGATGTCGCTGTAGCTCCAATGGACACGGTCCGGTCGTCCCACAATCTTCACCTGTATATCACCTCTCCAGCCCTCAACAGCTCTACGTCAATTATGGGGTGTTATCATATGCCGTTTCCATGGAACGCATCCCTCGCCATAAAAGACGATGTCGCTATAACTCCTATGAAAATGTTCAAAAAGTGCTCAAACTTCACATGTGTGCTAACAGTCCAGCCGTGAAGACATCTACGGGACAGTTTTGAGATTTCTTCCATTGCCGTTGCCATGGAAACCATGAGGAGGCGTGTGGTGCAGTGGATAGAGCCTTGGTGTTGGGATCAGGGGGTCACAGGTTCAAACCCCACTGCAGTCAGCATGTCGTTGTGTCCCTGGGCAAGACACTTCACCCCAAATTGCTCCTGTGGGGATTGTCCACAGTATTGAGTATGTAAGTCGCTTTGGATAAAAGCGTCTAACAAGTAACATGTAATGTAATGAAACACGGTTTTCTCATAACTTCAGTGAAAATGCTCCAAACGGCCCAAAACTTCACAGGTTTGGTAACGATGCAGCCATCAACGCATCTAAGCGTATTATGGGATGTCATCAAATGCCATTGGCATGGCGACAGATCATTCGCCATCAAGTTAGTTCAAAAGTTTGCAGTTCAAATATTCTGCTGCGTTTCTAAGCCTTTTTACTTTCTTTTCTTCTCTCATCACACATTCAAGCCCCCAGTGTTCATGTATAATTTCAATCTAAATTATTCACTTTCTTCTTACACATTACATTTCAGCATAGCAGTTTAGCATCAGCTTTTCAGCATAAAGCATTCCCACTAGCAATTTCTTCAGGAATTGCATTCTCTAGTTTGTTATTGCTCTTTGTCTCCCTGTGCCAGCCTTCTCTCAGGTGCTGTCAGGCCTTTGGGATGGAAATGAAGGGGACAGAGTCGTAAACCCACGACAGTTTTACAACATTTTTAAAGAAGCGGTGCCTTACTTCAGTGGATACAGGTGAGAATAAAGATGATGTTTCTCTTTCCCTCAAGGTTGTCTTTCCATTAGACTTAAATGCAATACAATATCCATGTGTGCATCAGCACAACTGTTTCAAGGACAAGACAAGAACAGTAAACCATTTCAATTCAATGTTTACTCTCCTACAACGTGTATAGATTGGATTTGAAGCAGAGTTCATATAGAAATAGCTGCCTTAATTAGCGACAATAAGGAGTATTTCCTCTGTGTTTAACCCAGTCAACAGGATGCACAGGAGTTCCTCAGGTTCTTATTGGACAAGCTGCACACAGAAATCAATCGCAGACCCTATGTTCGAAGAGCAGGAAAGGAGCCTGAGCAAACATTTGCCAGATTTAGGTTTGTATATTTATGTGGGAAAGATTCTGTCCTTAAAACTTTAAAGTCTTCATGTGATCACATCTCTTTTTCACGCATGTCTTGTTTTCCTTTAGGATTTCAGAAGAGGCCGCTGCCATGTGGAAGAAACACTTGGAGAGAGATGACAGCAGAATAGTAGGTAAGGAGAGCAATGCAGTCATCGTGATCCATCAGAATAATCCACAAAATAAATTAAATTAAGGCAACCCTCTGATAATTCCTCCCCCCCTCCTCATAGACCTGTTTTCGGGCCAGCTGAGGAGCTCGCTGCATTGCTCCGTGTGCTCCCACTCCTCCAACACATTCGACGTGTTCTGTGATCTGTCGCTGCCCATCCCCAAGAGGAGCTCCGCTGGGCAGGTCACACTGAGGGAGTGCCTGGAGCTCTTCTCTCAGGAGGAGAAACTGGACAAGGACAATTCCCCTGTAGGTTAACACAAAGTAATGGATTACAATTGATTGACGTGTCTCAGATTTTGGGGTGAAAGGTCAATGAATAAGGCACTGTAACCTGGGAATGGTTTGTTCCAAAACTGGATTTGTGTCCATCTGTAGCCTACACCTTTTGTACTCTTATCTATATAAATAATTGTTCTTACTTTTATCCTTATTTATTTTTATTTATATGTGCACATGAAGCCAAAGAGCTTATGCTGTGTCAACGGAAAAACAAAGCAAACAAAAACGTACTATGATGGGTAAAGGAAATATAAATGTGCGAACACCGGTCAAATGGAAATATAAAACTATAGATATATAATGAAGTAATTTTTTATTTGATTTCAAACTGTTGCATGTCATGATATTAAAATGATTACAATGAGATGATTTTAAATCCTTTCAAAGACCAGAGTTTGAATGAAGGTCTGAGAATAAATGCATATTTAAAAAGTATTAATCGTATAGTTCACAGATTTAAACTTTCTAAACAGATTGACAAAGTTAGGACTAAATAGTACTACCTGACCTATATTGCTTTACTCACTACTGTATCAATAAAAGTGTAATGCAAACAAGAAGTCAAATAACAGTACTGGGGGAAAAAATAAAAATACTTTCCTCAATATTCCAGATAATTTGTATTAACTTTTTAAAACAAATAGCTAATGACAATGGACCTTGTGTATTTTAAAATGTTGAGGTGTTTGTTTTTGTGATTTCAGATGTGTGAAAGATGTAACAGGCACACTGAGTGCACCAAGCGGCTTTCCATCCAGAGGTTTCCCCAGGTTATTGTGATACGTATCCTTGACCACATCTCGTACTTAGTGTATTAAGCTTGTTATGAGCAAGTGATGATTTAGTACATGACTTTATGATGGTACTTAACAGTCTCGATCAGATCTGAACCGTTTCACCACATCTCGCTGGTCTATCAGTAAAAGCACAGTGTATGTGTCCTTCCCTCTCACTAACCTGGACCTCGGACGCTACGGGCCTGTCGACTGTGGTAACCAAACAAAACCTTTCTTTAGATTATCCTTGTTAATGTCTAATGTATTCAACCATCTATGAATGACTTCCTTTTACATGCAATCATGAATGTTACTGTTAAATGGTAATAAGGACATTATCGGCATGTATTCAACATCTTATCCAGTCATCCTGTGTTACTCTTTGTTTGATAATTAAGTTTCTAGACTATTTGTAACAATAAGTAGACGTTTTCATTGTTTACATAATTGAAACTGATCAGTTCTCATAAATGGAATAGATAAGTCATATTATCTCTCTATGTCCCCATAGGTCCAGTTCTGTATGATTTATATGCAATATGTAACCATGCTGGCACAGTGAACATGGGCCACTACACAGCCTGCTGTTCGGATGAAAATGGTTGGTGCTTCTACAACGACTCCAGGTGAGAAACGTCCTGCACACAAATCATTTTGTTTTATAATGCCCTGCAAACAGCATTGTCTATGTACAAGAGCCTGCTGTGTCAGTAGGTCATCTGTATTGAGACATCTCAAGTGCTGGTAGAAGTACTGGGATGTTTTACTTATGTCTTACTTACTAATGTCATACAAATAAAGTACCACAAGTAAATATATTTGTCATGCATATTGGCCCTTTTAAAAATCATACATTAAGTTACTTGATTAAGTATATTATTGCATTAATCAGTTCATCTCAGCTGGTAAAGGTGGAGCTCATTTTAATTATTTATATACTGCTGCTGTGTCCATGTTTATTTATTAGTTGATTTGTATTTTGTATTGGCTAATTATGTGTATATGTAAGGTAACTAGTACCTGAAGCTGTGAGAAAAATGTACAAAAGGTACATTATTGTCCTACAAAATCTAGTATACTAGTGTACTCTAGTATAAAGTAGCATACAATGAAAATACTTAGGTAAAGTACAAATACCCTCAAATCGTACTTAAATAAAGTAAATGAACTTCATTACATTACACTACCGTTTACTAATATAAACCTGGAACTGTTTCTCATGATTTATTTCCATCTTCCCAACTACAGTGTTACTCCAGTCTCAGAGAACCAGCTTCAGACCAATCAAGCCTATGTGCTGTTCTACCAGCGCAGCAACAGTACCACCATCAGGAAATAGACCCGACACTGGCTGAGTCAAGCAGCCAATCAGAGCAACCTCCAGTGTCCATAGAAACAAATAGAAGCAGCAGTGCTGGCATCTATGAGCAGCTCAATCTCAATGAGCATGCCCTCAAATAATCTCTGTGGAGGATGAGGGAGACGCCATGCTCACTTTAAGGAGAGCTTGACGAGGCAATCTCCCCTCCTGAATCAACGAGATGCTTTTGAAGAGTCTCAGTGAGAGACAGAGGCAGCTCAGACACACTTCAGCCTTAAGAGTGTCTGCCCTACTTCTCAGGCAGGAGTGAGCGGTGAACTTGCACACAATGCATAGCTCTTGATGTTAAATAATTATGATTCATGCTTGTGATGCAACATACACCAAAACAAACAAAAATACATATTTGGTAGAATACAAATAGGCAACAAGTGATGACCCAATATAGTGGCATTTCATTTAAATTTGTGATAATAAAGGGCACATGATTCAAAATGAAAAGGTCTAGTGTATGTTTCCTCTGACAGTTTACCCTGAAACTTGAAAACATTGTGGACTGTTTTTCCCTCCAATAGAATTATAATTTCTATGTTTATATAAATGTATGTATATATTTTTTTTACATTTGTGTCTCAAATGACACAATTGAATGTAATGCATAATTGACTTTTGAAACATCAATAAAAGATCACTGAAAACATCTGAGCAATCAATTACAATTAAAGAAACACCCAGATTTCCAGGGGACAGTGTACAAAGCTAAAGGACATTAATTATTCACACAAATAAAGAAGGTGCACCAATTAATTGTTTTTGTAGGAACAATTATCTTTTAGGGGTTGCTAGGTTTATTTACCAATACAAATATATATATACTGTTATGAATATGAGATTAAATAAATAATTTAATTATAAATAAATATTAGGTTATTAACACAGGCCTAATATGCTTTGCCGTTATTGCCATTCAATTAATTGTAAGTAAACAGAACAGTAGGGACAGTAAGACCTATGCTGTATTTGTTTCCGAAACATTATTTATTAGAAAAATGTAATGTGTTTGTTGATAGTTACGGTTTTAATTTGCGAAACAAAATGAATTGGTTTATAAGGTAGTGTTTTATATTTGCAGACCACACGGTGTCTGCTAGTGAATCATAGGGCATTTGTAAAACATGATTAGTTTGTTTGTGGACTGTGGAGTTATGGCAGGAAATTGGCTCCATAGGAGAGTCAATATCAACAAAAATAATACTCCATAACACTTGGTTCATTGAAATATAAACAAAACAGGGATAAAATACACATATGGTTTTGATTGCCTTCTTGTTTTTAAAATGTTTAATAGTGGTGCCATGTTGTTGTATCTTCAAGTTGGAAAAAGGTGCCACAGCCTACCGACAAATGACGTATTTGTGCACATGCGCGCAGTAGCAGTGGGCGGAGTTTTCCAGTCGGTCAGGAAGAGGAGAAAGGCGGACACAGAAACATCAAGCGGTAATCTTACTCAGTTATAGCTTTTAAACTTTAATGCCGATTCTTGTTTCACCCAGAGAAGTATCACAGCGGTGCAATGAATGCTGAAGATATGATTTCAGAGAGAAAACCTTTAATGACAGTGATCCGAACCACGGGAAACACCGTTAGCTTTCTTGCTAGCTAATGTTAGCTGGTTTGACAGGCCCGGACTGCACAGTCTTTCAGCAGGAATGGGAACACAGCACGGAAATGTCTCATGTTTACACCCTCAGCCTCCCTGTGTGCTAGTCGGGTCGTTTTAAGTTAGATGTATCTTGTGAATCAGGGTATTTTAGTGAAACTCTGAGATAAGGAGACCGGTGTTCTAGCGTTGCTAACGTTGACTGAGCTGTTACTTCTCACGTTATATGGCAACCATGGTCAGAGGTGGGAGAAATACTCAGATCTTGTAAAAGTAGAAGTTCCAGACGGTAGGAATTCTCTGTTACAAGTAAGAGTCCTGCATTCAATGTGTTATTTAAGTTAAAGTACAAAAGTATTAGCATCAAAGTACCACAAGTAAAAGTACTCCTTTATGCAGATAGGCCCATTTCAAAAGAATGCATATTTTTTTGTTCTGATTATAATTATTGATGCATTAATGTGTTTATCAGCTAGTTTTAATGACTTTGTATACTGCAGGGTAACTAAAGTCTTATTTAAGTGTTATTTATATTTTAAATCATTAATCCAAATCTGCAAAGTAACTAAAGATAACAGTACATTATTAATCTCTGAATTGTAGTGGGGTAGAAGAAGAAAGTAGAACATTTTGAAATACTCAAGTAAAGTCCCCTCAAAATGGTTGTTAAGTAGTACTTAAGTTAATGTACTTTACCCCACTGACCATGGTGAACTGTTGATAAAACATAGGAAGCATTATAATTATATCGTTATGTTTAAAGTTCTTATTCATCATGATCTTGAATCATTGCTAATTTTGTAAAGGTACGTTTGGGTTTTATTATTGCTACATTTTATTAAAGTATGTCCTTGTTTTGTACTGTTTTGAACAGATGGCTGCTATCAGGAAGAAGTTGGTGATAGTTGGAGATGGAGCGTGTGGGAAGACCTGCCTGCTCATCGTCTTCAGTAAGGACCAGTTCCCCGAGGTCTACGTCCCCACTGTGTTCGAGAACTATGTGGCCGACATTGAAGTGGATGGGAAACAGGTGAGACACAAAACACTGAGGAAACTAGGATCTGTGGCGTCCAAAGGGCCCTTGAACATTTTTTAATACTTAATTTAACTTAATTATCACATTAAGGATTTTTTAATACAGTTTTGTCTTCATTTAAATGTTAACCAGTTAGGGGGAAAACTAACTATTCAAAACTATCAAATGTCCAAAACAGGTCAAAATCATAATTTCCACATTCTCACTTTTGAAAGCATCAAATGTTAGGAATTTTTGCTGGAAAAATGATTTAATAATTGATCAATTATTAGAATAGTGGCTGATTAGTTTTCTCTATGTTTCGTTTCAGTTCTACTTTAAATTGGATTTTGTGTCCTATTATTAGTACAAGAACCAAAGACCTTCCGTTCACTATTATTCAAGACTAAGATACACAGCAAATATTGATAATTATTTATGAATATTTTAATATTTCTTAGATATAATCTTTGGCCAAGAATTACCTGAATATGCATTCTATTTTTTTGGCTGTCTTACTATTTAAAGTATAAGTCTGACTTATATTGTAACTTAAATGTTGAAACTGCCTTTTTTACTTTTTCATGATTCATTTATGTCCTCAAATGTATCTCTCTCTCTCTCTCTCTTTTCAGGTGGAGCTAGCACTTTGGGACACAGCCGGTCAGGAAGACTATGACAGGCTGAGGCCTCTCTCCTACCCCGACACTGATGTTATTCTCATGTGCTTCTCTGTAGACAGCCCGGACAGTTTAGGTATTGTCTCTGCTAGTTACACCACAATGTATCAAACACCTTGTTGTTATGAAATTGATATATGTTGTTAATTACTGTATTCTTTCCTTCTGCCTACTGTAGAGAATATTCCAGAGAAGTGGACACCTGAAGTGAAACACTTCTGCCCAAATGTTCCTATCATCCTGGTGGGTAACAAAAAAGATCTGCGCAATGACGACCACACCAGAAGAGAGCTTGCCAAAATGAAACAGGTCAGTTACTTTGTCTAAAACTGCTGGTAGGTGCACATTTGTTGGTATAAATGTCCAAAATGTAAACTCTCTCTCCGGCTTATGTCTCCAGGAACCAGTTAAATTAGATGATGGCAAAGAGATGTCGAACCGCATCAGTGCCTATGGCTACCAAGAGTGTTCTGCCAAAACCAAAGATGGTGTGAGGGAAGTCTTTGAGATGGCAACTAGGGCAGCACTGCAGGCCAAGAAACGTGGCAGGAAGAACACCTGCCTTCTGTTATAGGCTCTGGAAGAGGAGGAAGCTGCCGTCAAGCACAGATGGAAAGGGCGGCTTTCATTGAGATTTGACACGGGACAAAATTGGGGTGGGCCCAGAAAATATTTGCGTGTGCTCAATTTCTTATCACCCAATTATCCTTAACAAATTAAAACAGGTCTTACATTATTTGAAAGGCTTTTACACCTTGGTCTATACATTAGAAGATGTGCCATTTTGCTTCAGCCTATCAAAAACTTCTAAAGGTCTGTAGGGCAGGACGTGGGGGGATGATTTGAAGTTGAGTAGATATAAACGGGGTTAAAATGTGCCATGATGGGAATGAAGAGAGAAAAAGGTCCTTACCAGGCCAAAGAAAGACGGAGAAAAGACATAAATATTAAATAGGTTTGAATTAAGACCATGTCTAAGTGGATTTTACACAGTATCGCCTACATGTAGTGCCTTGAGAGCAATGGTAAAGAAACGTAAGTTGTGGGGTAGGGATTCATAACTTAGATAGGGTATTATTTTGTCATTTGTAGTTTTCACACATCACATTTGTGAATGCTTATTCCCTGTCATTGGCTTTGCTCCTTCAGGCCCATATTCTGACTCAGGCGCTATGCAGGGGTTTGCCTAAACTAGATTGTATGAGTTGATTTCCCATACTGAATTACTTACCTGTACTTAAGAGTGTGTGAGTGTGTGTGTGTGCAACTGTATGGTGGTTTGTTTTCTCCAGTGCAGTTCTGCATGCAGTGAATGTGTGTATATTTGTGTGGGTGTGTATTAACATATGTGTCTATGTACTGTATGCATGGAAAGGCCTTCTGCGTCACTGACCTAACCCCTTATTTCCATGCCAAAGTTACCCCTGATGGCCACATTTTATGGCTCAGATGGGTAATGGAATTAACAGCTACTCAGAGTGACATAGAAACTTTCACTTTACTGGAAGACATTGTACTTTACCTAGAGGCACAATCAGGTTAAACATATGAGTTTTTAGGACCTTTTTTGTGTATACCAGAGATTCATTTGATTGTGTTAATCGGTGGGTCAAATCATGAGTGGTGTAGTTGATAAGTTGAATATTCTTTCAGATAGATGATAGGCTTATCTTATTATTATAATGTCCATTATGTACTGTATGTCTTACAAGGCTTTGTAAGGACATGTTAATGATGTGTATTTCAAGTTTGCCTTTTTCTCCATTCTCCCCATTCCTCCTTTAATGAAATTGTCATTATTGTACTATAACTTTTTATTGTTGATGTCTCTAAATTTCTTAGCATATTTTAATCATTTTAATTAATCCTGCTGTTTTGATCAGCTTATGTCAGTTAAATGATCAATTGTAACCGTAATATTGTTTTGTTTAGTTAATTGAAGGTAAAGCTTGGGGTGCAAGGCTGGAAGGTTTTGGGGATGGGCTCCTTTCTTTTTTTTTTCTTTGCTTTTTGTACTGTGACATATTATGGTTTTTGTTTCTGGATTTTTTCCAAATAAAGCTGATATTAGGGTTTCTGTTGTAAGGTATTTATGTGTTCTTTACATTTATTCACTATTAATTGCAACAATTTCACTTGTATTCCTGGCATTAATTCACTTTTTTCCTTAATAAAATACGTATAACTCTTCAAAATAACTGATCCTATGATTTGATATACATCTACACTTCTGATTATGAAAAAAATAAATTTAATATTGTGTGACTTTCACCGCTGTAGGATAAATAAAGGACTACAGATTCAGATTTAAAGCACAAACGCATCTAATAATACCATGCAGTGTGGAGGGCTACTAGTTGGAGTTGTCCTGGCTGTCTCGTCCAATCATCGTCGACATTAATGTGTTCGCTCTCGCAGAACCAATCGCACACCAGAGTCAGGTATTGGTACCCGCCCACTCTCAAATGTTGTCTTGCTGTGGCCATTTTACACTTGGTTCTGTGAAAAATTAAAACACTCTTCTCACCTGAGCTTCGACGTGACATTTAAAGAACTATCGTTTGTTACATGTGACACTGGTAAGTTTTTCCCTATTTTAAATAAAACTGCGGTTGGTTCGTTTACTACGGCTGACACACGTTGTTTGGCTGCAGCGTCTGCTTGCACCAGTTAGCCAACCTCAGGCTAAAATAGTTAGCTTGCATGACCGCCACACGTCATTGTTAAAGACTCCTTTTTGGGTAGTAAGGTTGGGCATGTGCATTGCGCACACTTGTTAATGAGTGATGTACCCTCATGCATTTGTTTGTACATTTATGGCTTTTGCTAAGTAGTTTATAAGGCAGTGATATGAGTTAAAGTTAGAGAAGTCTGCAGTCTTTTAAAAAATGCAGCTGCCTGGAGAAAAAACAAATGATGCTACCTGCCTCCAGTGCACGCACAGCTTGCACATCACTGACGTTACCATGCACAGCACAGGAGGCCCTGCTTGTAAATTATTTAGTCATTTAAAGTAGTTACTTGCCACTTAAACACAATACTGTTACTTTTTGTATAGGTTACTTTACTTACTACTACGTCTTCACTTCTGTGCATATCTATATATGTATTACTTCTCGTTTTTTTCCTTTCAACATTCCTTTGCAAAACTGTCTACCGCACGCTTATTTTAGTATATTTTATGTCTATATTTTAGACCTTTATTTGAGCTTGCAATATCTAATGTCATGCGTGAAAATACCTTTTTTTTTTTTAAATACATATTTAAAGAGCATGTTTGGAGGGAGTCTAAGATTGTCGTTGCCAAAGACTGCTTCGCTGTTAGTGATGTGCATATGATAATTAACAGCGTGAAACTTGAGCTATTGATTTTCAACTTAGTTTCTAAAAGACAGTCAGTCAGCAAAGTTATGGTTCTTTATATTATTGCTTCTGATTCAAAAGAGTAAATAGCTGACCTGTTTCCATGGTTTCCAATCCCATAATCAAACAGAAAAAGTGCAGAGACCAGGAGCAGAGTCAGGGGATCAACATGGACTATGAGCGGAGGTGAGTCCAACTTTCTTCTTTAGCCTTTCTACCCTAAAGAGTTGATGTGTCCGACAAATTTCTCACACTAGGTTTTTCATGGTCAACAGGGGTGGGCGAGTTGATCGCACTGGTCGCTATGGCAACACCCACAACGATCACAACTTTCGGGACATGGATTACCGAGGCTATGACCAAGAGGACGAGGAGGTGGGAACAGGATATGATGTCAGAGCAGAGGGGGACGGACCGTACGGCCACGAAGAGCCATCACTGGGTGACTTCTCGCCAGGTCGCCTGCAAGACCGCCCGGGGGGGTTTCACCCGAGAGGAGATGGGCGAGGGGACATTGGGAGGGAGGGGAAAGGGCTCCTGTGGACCCCTCAGTCTGACTCAGCACTTCCCATGCTCCAGAGAGAGGATGATGGCTCCAGGCGGGAGTTTGAACATATTTTGACTGGCCCGCAGGAAAGAGGTCGTGGAAGAGGTTTTCCTGACAACAGTGCCTCTCGTTCAGGGGGCAGGGAGGGCAACTGGGGGCACGGTGGGGGTGCACATCCAGAACAGATGGAATACAATACAGTGAGACAGAGAGAGGAGGATAGGTTCTCTCGTGCGGCGGTGAAGAGGAGGGTAAGCCATAACAAGTCCTTCAACAACAACATAGAACTGCTACAACATTATTTAGTTTTGACATTGGTTTCACATTTGCTCTATGCAGGCTTTTGTAGTGGGGGCAGAGGAGCTGAGCTCTGGGAGTGCTGGTCCTGAGTTGTCCCTTGAGGAGATGGAGCAGAGGGACCAGGACTACCGTGCAGATCTGGACCACAACCAGAGGCCAAGCAACATCATAATGCTCCGCATGCTGCCACCCAATGCCAGTGCCAATGAGGTAAGTGTATGCAAGCGGTCTTATAAAGCATTGGAATGGTTTTATCTGGCCTTAATGTCACTAATGTCCCTTTTGTTCATAGATACGGGCACAACTTCAGGAGCAGGGGATCCAGCCAAGAGAGGTTCGCCTCATGAGAAACAAATCCTCAGGTGAGAACTTGTCCATTGCCCCGAATGTTTTAAAAAAATTAACTCTCCCTTTGTGACACACTCCATTACCCACTCTTTCACTTCATCGCTCTCTCAGGTGCCTTTCCTCTGCTCAGTGGTTTGTTTCTTATTAATAAGCTGATAAGCCTCCCTTTCCTTTTCCTTTTCCTCTTCTCTTACCCTCACTGTCTTTTTTTTCATACTGTGACAGTGAGATAGATAGCAAAGAATGCATATTTATATACTTATATATCGGCTTCTGCTAAGATTCCTGCTCTGATTTATTTGGTCTGCTGGTGTCTGACTTCTGGCTAGTGCTCGCAGGGCAACAAAACAACCATGCATGCTTTGAAGGAAGACTCATCAACATTTGTTTTTCAATCAAGAATGCATGCCATATATGTAATAGATCTGCATTGCATTCATTTTCCTTTTTGGCTTGGCTCTCTTATCTTTACCATTTCATGATTCTGCCTTATTCAACCTAATGTGAGATGTGTCTGAGTTGACAAACTAACACTGCCAAATGAGAAATGATCAGCAGAATGAAGAAGAATGCATTTAATGGTGTTTGTCATTGGAGCTAATTATGAAAGTGTGAATGTAAGTGTTGCAGCTTCCTCTAAGCTACTGAGCGTCATCCATACCACTCAGAAAAGCTTGTCTTTTTCTAAAGGTCCATTAAGGTCATGTCTCACTGGCCTCCCCCTTTGCTAACGCACTGGTTTCCTGTAAGTTGTGCCTATCTGACTCCGGCACACTTACAGTCCCCGCACTGCTCTTTCTCTCTCACCCCTGCATCTATGTCTGTTTTAAGGATAAATCACTCTCAATTTAAATGTTTAAATAATTATATTTTGTGATTGCCCTCCAATATTATATTATATATAGTGCTGTGAAATGACATACCTCTGAATTATTTGTATAATGTGTAGATTTTGAATCAGAATCTTACTCAGACTAGCAGAGATGAGCGTGTCTGTGTGTCTGTGTGTGTTTGTGTGTGCGAGATGTGTTGATGCCTGGGTGCTTCACCATTCAAAGCCAAAGAGCTCAGACTGGAACTGATGAGTGGGTAGGATTCTCCCTCTCTCTCCCTCTTTTCTTGACCCTGTTGAGAGACTTGACATTGCGTCCTCCCACCCTTGCAGAGAATTTGACAGTAGCACTCCAACTGGCTGTCAGGTGTGTTATTTCCAAGGGAGAGAGGAAGCAATGATTTATTTGATTAGTGCTGATACAGGGTCTCTCTCTCCTCTGGACATAAAGCACTAACCCCTCACTGCGTTGTTGTTATGTTGTTGTTGTTGTTGTTCGGTTACCATGGCGCTGGGCGGTGTCCAGGTCAGAGCCGAGGATTCGCCTTCGTCGAGTTTAATGTCATACAGGAGGCCACGCGCTGGATGGAGACCAACCAGGTCACTCTCCTCTACACAGACACACATACACATGTATACAAATGCATTCGTTATGGGACATGGGTTATTATCAGGACAACATAATGTCAGGTGCACATGAGGCATTCCAGTGTAGACACAGTGGAGAAATAATTGTTGTCCTTGAGGTAGGTAGGTATTTTTTATTTAATGGGAAACTTCATATTTTCTTTCTTTGTATACAGTATTCCACAAACAGACCAATTGATGTTACATCATACTGTCGTCTATGCAAAACACATATATATTGTGACTAGTCTCTGCCAGGCACATTTGCTCATCATTTGCCCTACACAAGCTCCTCTATTATAGGGTCCTACTCTTTCTTCACTGACATGATCTCACTCTCTCTCTCCAGTCTACTATAGTACCACCTCTGTGACAGTGTAGAGTAGGAACTTTATTTCTCATATGGTCTGTATATAATACTTCATTTCTTGTTTTTGAACCTTTCATATCTGGGTCATGTACCATTACTACATCTTTAGTGCGGAGCTATTGTCTCTATGGGGGCTGAAGGTGGCGACAGTGGGATAGTATGTGTGGAAAACTGTGAAAAGGTTTCCCCTTAAGGGGGGAGGGATGACACATTGAACAAAACATATTTTGTCCTTAAAAATGGACACCCATGCACACACTACACATACACCATCTCAGTCCGTCCCAATTTCCTAAAGCTGAAGGTTGCAATTCTCTGGTGTCCTCTTTCTTTCAGCCTCAGTTCTACTCTCTGTCTCTCTGTCCCCCTCTCCCTCTCTCCCTCTCATCCCTTTCACTCTCTCTCATCTCTTGTGAGATGAGGCCTTTCTCTGGCATGTGTGGCCTAATTATCACTGATAATCATTCTTTGTTCCCCCTCCCTCTCTTTCTTTTTCTTTCAGTCGGTGTTGTTGATTCTGGGACAAAGAGTGTCGATGCACTACAGCGACCCAAAACCGCGTGCCAACGAGGACTGGCTCTGCAACAAGGTTGTGTCTGCATTGTGTGGCATATGGAAATAAATGTAATTTGTGAAATGTATGCATATATATGTCACTGTGTTCGCTTATTTTTTTAACAGTTAGTTATGTCACATTTCAACAGTGTGGTGTGCAAAACTTTAAAAGGAGAGAGAAGTGCTTCAAATGCAGTGTGCCAAAATCAGGTAAAGTTAAACCAAGCTACTGTAAATATCCCATTTATATTCCCTTTAACAATAGCACAAGCGCTCAGACATCCTATAATAATACATGAATAATGTCTTGTATTTGTCCAGAGGCTGAGCTGAAGTTGCCTCAGTTGCAGAGGGATTTGTCTGTTGGGCTTCAAAAGGAGGGAACCCAAGGCTTGTTGCCCCTCCCGGCCCCCTACCACTCCTCTGGCCCTGCTGTGAGCCCGGGACAGGCCACACAGCAGGCGGACGTTGCCAATGACAGTAAGTCCATCCCTTAACATCTTTCCCATCAAGGCAGTCTGTTCTTCTATTCAGAAAGAAAAACCTTTGTGTAGGCTTTGTATTATGTAATCCATATTTGTTTTATTAATCAATTGATTTATGTGTACTTTTGAAAAAACAAAGTATTTAACATCTATACTGGCTTATAATTGCATTTTTATGTTTTGAATAACTCTATTTATATACCTATGGCTTGTGAAACAGAAGAGGGCCTCATGAGATACTTGCTTTTGCAACGCTGAATACTATCTGGTACCAGAGTTAAGTCCTATCTTATTCTCTCATCCTCTCCCACAACAGCTCTGATACTAAGAAACCTTGGCCCGCATACTTCAGTGGAAACCATCTTATCTGCTCTGGCTCCATTTGCCACTCTCTCCCCTTCCAACGTCCGCCTAATCAAGGACAAGCACACCCATCTCAACAGGGGCTTTGCCTTTCTACAGCTCTCTACCATAGTGGTGAGGAAATTGACAGGTTTTCATTCTTCTGTTCTGATGATTTTAAAATAATACATTAACTTGCATGTTTCTGTATGTTTTATCAACAGGAGGCATCTCAGCTGCTCCAGATCTTGCAGGCTCTCCAGCCGGCTCTCTCTATTGATGGGAAGGCCATTGTGGTGGAGTTTGCCAAAGGCTCCAAACGGTAAACAGACACACACCCAAACCTCGATGCAACCAAACCACAAGAGCCTTGCACACTATTGCCAATGCAGAAATAATAATATTGCGTGGCAGCTATTACCACACCAAATGTAAACTCAAATGTGTCTTGTGAATAAAGTTGATTTAGAAATAGTAGCCTAATAATGTGGATACATTTTAAATGTTGTCTTTCTATGGCAGTGATGTGTTCCTGACGGATGGCAGCAGAGTGAGTGCTGCTACTGTAGCCAGCACAGCTATAGCTGCTGCTCAGTGGTCCGTCACACAGGTAACATGAAGGATTTATCATTACATAAAGGAAAACATGAGGCTTAAATACACATTGTATTTATAAATTGTATTACTATGTTTCTTCTTATGTTTGGTTATAAAAATCTTCATCATTCTCAGACTCCTCAGAATGGATCGGGGGGAGGCCAGACGACAGATACAGCAGTGTATCAGCAGGGGGCAGCAGTAACGTACAATCAGGAAGGAGTGGAGTACTCTGGGCTCGATGGCACACATTTCAAATCCCAGGGAGATGCCAGGGCTTCTGCTTTACCCGGTGCAAGAACAGCCCTGATGGGGGCGTACACAGGAGGAGCAGCTGCAGGTTGGTATTGCACATGTTCAATACACAAGGCCTGATACCTATATGATTTTATATAGCTGTATACATTGGAATTTAACTTGAGTTAACTGAATCCCCCTTTCACATTTTGAGATTTGACGGAGCACGGTGTACTTGTACTTTTATTAGTTCTTTTATTAGAGATGTGTCTGTTGTCTGTGTCTGTTTTTAGGGTGTGTCAGGATGGATCCCTTGTCTTTTTATCTGCAAACTAAATCTACCTACGGGTACAAATCAAGAACCTGATCCCCCTGTTTATGTTTGCAGAGGCCGTGACCTCTGGATCAGTGGTGCTGCAGCACACACAGAGTGCTCTCATCTCCACAGCTAGCACTACACCAGTCACACAGGTACAACTTCACTGTTTGCTTCTCTTCTTGCCTCTTGCTTTATTTCATCCCATTACTTTCTTGTTTTAAAGAGCTATGTCTCTCCTCAGGTTGAGATAGTAGGAAAACCACAACCAGCTGCTCCAAGCCAACCTGCTACACCAGGCACTGAACACGAGCTCCAGCAATACCGTAAGGCTTTTGAGAAAAAAGAAAAAGCAATGAATAAACATCTTTAATTATAACTGTAAATATCTGTCTTTGGTGGGTAACTTTGAGGTGCTATTTTGGGGTTTATCTGAATGTTTATTTAGCTTGATGATGATGCTGATAACAGTCGAGCTGACTTTTTATGATCATGAAAGGATTTTAAATGTGAAATCTGACCCTGGTGTCCTGTGTCTTTGATTGCAGCTGTGCCAGATGTGTCCACATATCACTATGATGAGAGCTCTGGCTACTATTACGACCCACTCACAGGCCTCTACTATGACCCCAACTCCCAGGTAAAGAGTTGTGAATGTACTGCAATCTAATGTCCATCCAGCACTCTCTGAAAGACTTTTCTGAATGTATCGCTGTCCTCTGCATTTCAGTCTGGTTACTCGTTGTCTCGTTACAGTACTACTTCAACCCTCACACTCAGCAGTACATGTACTGGGATGGAGAGAAGCACACCTACATTCCTGCTGCTGACGGTCAGTCAAACTCAGAAGGCGCTCCCACTAGCCTTGGCGCAGCCCCTTCAGACTCACCATTTGGAACCCCTGGCAGCAAGGAGAAGAAAGACAAACCCAAGAATAAAACTGCTCAACAGGTACTCCCCACACTGGATACTGGTAGCATACTGACAGACGTGAACATAAAACTAATAAACCTTTAGATTTTAATGTAAAACTCCACCATAAAGCTTTTTACCCTTTGTTTTTTTATTAGAAATCTGTAAACAAAAATGTAAACATCTGTTAACTTTCAATTTGGAAAGTGAAAGTGAGTAACAAATCTATCAATATCTCACTGTATGAAACAGTTCAATTCATAATGAACTATGCTATTCTACTGTATGGCCAAATTCACCAAAGGTTTTTAAAACCTTACATATTCTGGAAATGTTACTCTTAACAAGGTAGTAATTATTCAAGGGCTACTGAGTTAGGTTGTTATGTTCATGTTTTGTTGAACCCACTGATTTTCAATGTTTTAATCTTCCTCTGTTCAGTCCTTTTACATGGCTAACTTGGATCTCTTGATTTCATATGAACAGATTGCCAAAGACATGGAGCGCTGGGCTAAGAGTCTCAACAGACACAAGGAGAACATGCGTTCCGTGTCCTCCTCCCCTGCCGTCGGCACCACAGCGCTCCCCCCTGGTTACGCTCGGGCCCCTGGCCACAGTCGCCTAGATGACCGCAGAGAATCTGCCAGTGCTGATGCAGGCTATGCTGTTCTGGAGAAAAAGGTACATGACCCTTTCACAGACACACATGCCTAGCTGCAAACACCTGGGCAGCAGGGTATCATAGTGAATGGGGAGAGTGTGCATCAAGCAGAGGACTCAGTAATAAGACAACGTTTGCACAGTCTTTTTAACTGACCTGGTAATTATTCTCTCTCTGTTCTGCAGGGTGCACTGTCTGAACGGCCTCAGATCTTTCTGGATCAGATCCGACAAAGTACTGAAGTAAGGACATGGACACAGTCATTGTATTTGCCTGTGTTTGTCTGATGTCCTCGTAGCTTTTCTATAGGATGCTTCAAAATGTGTTTTATTCTTCCAAGCATAGATTTCTATCATTACTTCTGTGTCTATTTTTCCCTCAGTTATTGATCTTGCATCCTATTTCTGTAGCGTTCCCCTCCTCAGCAGCAGGGTCTGGTCCCAGCCTACAGTGGAGAAACTGACAGCGACGAAGAAGGAGGGGACAAAGATGAGAAGGAAGGCAGAATGACCGACTGGGTTAAACTGGCCTGTCTGCTGTGTAGGAGGCAGTTTCCCAGCAAGGAGGCACTCATCAGGCACCAACAGCTCTCTGAGCTACACAAGGTTTCAATCTAATTTAACACAATAGCAAACAATGCATAAATGATGATTTAGGAATAAGTGTAGACTCACTTGTTAAATTGTTGTCTCATATATTCTTTTGTATTTGTTATTTAAAGTGTTTATAATAACTGACATATGTCTAAACTTTCACCTGTTTGTCTGTATGCCCGCAGCAAAACTTGGAGCAGAGAAGAGCCCAGCAGGATTCTGCAGGAAAAGAGGTTGGTCCAGCCACAGGGACTATAGGAGTGCGACAACATTACATAGAGTTGTGCTGTTTGTTGCTGAATGTGTGCAGTTGGTATTGATTTCATTGTCTTTTTGTGTTGCCCACAGAGACTTGCAGATGGACCGGAACTTCCTGATCCTAAGAGGAGGAAGTTTAACCCCATGTAAGCAACAGTGAGCAACAGTGAAGTACCAAGCAGACCCACCTGCTGTGGTCATTTATCAAATACTAGCGAGATACTCGCATGCATTTTTCCTCTTTTACAGTCCAAGTCAGGCTTTATGTTATGTATGATATTATGTTTGCTATTGGTCTGTACTTAATAATATTGCAAGGCCTGTTGCTTACTCCATACCGTGTCTGCACACTTATAAGTTACTTTATTCTCTTCTCTCTTCAGTGATGGGATCACAGGCACCAGTCTTGGTGCCAGGATGCTGCAGGGAGGAGTGAAAAAAGGTTTTCTACTGCGAAACATGCAAGTGGAGTGAGCCCTAAACCTGACATTTCAATTTGCTGACCCAGGCGGGACAAGGATAAACCTAGCACGCAACACTTCACCATTAACATCATCTAGATATCTATAGATAAAGCTCTTAATTTTGGTTTAATTACCATTACCTCAACTGTGGTAATACACTCGTGAACTGATCCTGTAGCAGTGTATGTCAGGATATTGCACAGAATGCACTTTTTTGCTTTCTTCCTGAATGATGCAGTTTTTAGTTCTCACTTGCTTTAAAGCTTGTGTGTGATGATCAAGTGTTATGTGGTTGGGAAACATTTTCTGTTGGAAAGTGAAAGATCAGTATAGATCTAAAGGCAGCGAATGGGATTTTCTAATATTACTGTCTATGCACCATAGATTTTTTTATTTAATGCTAAATGCCTTGTCATTCAGTGAATGACTGATCTAGGCAAACCTGTGTATACATTTTAGAAGAGACTGTGTGGCCTCATGAACTGGACATTGTCACACTAAAAACAAGTGTGTAGATGAAAAGTATGTAGATATAAATTCACAATGTAATACATCATTATTTCTGAAGGAAGCTATTCTGTATTTCTTTATTTGTTTAATATTGTGACTGTTTTATCAAGCTCATGTAAATTAATCCACAATTACATGTTTTCATTTGTTGCAATGATTGATGTCTTGTGTGGGCAAGCCGGTCGCTGATGTTTGGACATTTTAACCTGACATTTCCCAAGCTGTGTTTCTGCAAACCGGTGGTTTAAAAAAAAAAGAGGAATACCATGCAACATCTAACCTGCAGAAATTGTTTCGCAGCACAAAATGTCTGTTCCTGTTATTTGTCTTTAACCAGTGGCGTAAAGTAACTCAGTAGATTTACTCAATTACTACACTCCACTACATCTATTTAATACCTTTAGTTAGTTTGCAGATTTGCATTACTGAAGAAGAAGAAGATATACTTTATTTATCCCTTACAGGGAAATGTCTTTCCCCACTCTGTTGTGTTTACACACATTACACACACAGGGGAGGATATACATGCACAAACACACAACCACATGCAGATAGGAGAGGTGGCAGAGCAGAGAGGCTGCCCGGTGCCAAGGGAGCAGTTTCAAGGTTAGGTGCCTTGCTCAAGGGCACCTCGGCAGTGGCCTTGGAGGTGAACTGGCACCTCTCCAACTACCAGCCCACTCCATCTTTTTTTTTTTGGTCCGATCGGGACGTGAACCGGCGACCCTTCGGTTCCAAGACCAAGTCCCCTACAGACTGAGCCACTGCCGTAATATAAATAAGACTTAGTTACTCCTGGAGTAACATTCACAAGCTACCCTGCAGCATACACAGTCATTACATTAGCTGCAGCTTTGATAACACTTTAATGCATAAATAATTATAATCGGAACATAAAATGATTGTGAAATTGGCCGATATGCATAATGGATACGTTTACTGTTGGTAGCCTACTTTAAGTATATTTTGATGCAGATACTTATGTACTTTTACTTGAGTAACATTTTGATTGCAGGACTTTTACTTTTTACTTCTACTTTTACGTAAGTAGAAGATCTGAGTACTTTTCCACCTCTGTCTTTAACCCACCTGTGCGTATGGCTGTTGAGTTTCCATGGTAACGACAACAGACGCTATACTTTGTCCGCTGCAGTTAGCTTTATCAAGTAACACCAGCTAACTTAAATCTATTTTATTTGTTACGTTTTTCTATAATATTATTTGTATATATGTAAAGTTATTAATCTTAACTCAATGTAACGGTTTAGCTACTATAACTTTGTCATGTAAAGTAGGCCCACTAGTTGAGCTAAATCCGTCGTTTGTTCATTGGCTAAACTCAGTGCAGTTGGACCTAGTTATACGCCTGATATCTACCTACTGATAAGCGGCACTGACAAGCTGCACATTGTTAAAAGACGAGAAATTGGCAAGGATGTCTGAGATAGATGAAGATGCAGTCCTGTCAGATGTAGAGGGAGAGGAAGAAACACAACCAGAAGCAACCGAAGAAAAGGTAATCGTGACCTGAGATAACAGAAGAAACGCAGACACGCCATTAACTGGTTTTGCAAACCTGGAAGTTGCAACATGTATTGTATGATTCTGCATATATTTCGTTTTTTACTTAACGAGCTTTATATAGATGCCAATACTTATGCATTTTTACTTGAGTAACATTTTAAGTACAGGACTTTTACTTGTAACAGAGTATTCCTACGCTTCTTCCAACTCTGATTACAAGAAAGCTAAACATTGCCACGATGCTGGTTTAAACGATAGGTGGAGTATCAAGCTATATCATTCCATCACTGACCTACTCCAATAAGAAAATCCAAGGCTTAATCCCCATAACCCTTTATCCAATGCCTCAGAAGTTGCCATCATGTCACAGAATGCATTACACTGTTTTAGGAGTGTGAGTAGGCCTACCTTTTAACCCACAACACCAAATGAATGGATGTTATCTAATCATTAATCCCATGAAATGCCATAATGTAAATAACAAGTTGGCCCAAGTAGCCTAATGCATGACTCATTAAATAATGCTGGGCGTTCCAAAAACACCTGTTGCTCACCCTAAACAAAATCATTTCTGACCAATGTATTTTTTATTTTTGAAAGCAGAACATAACCTATTCTCATTGAAATATTAAGCTATGTTTCCTATCCTGTCCATTCAATGTATTAATTGGCACCTGTAGATCATTTTTGGTTCAATTAAATTGTATTTATATTGTCAAATATCACAAATTACACATTTGGTTGTAGCGATTTATTCTTTACAATGCTTATCTCCAACTTAAACAAAAACACTTTATATAACTCATGTAATATTGAAAATAACAACTCAACATTCCAACCCCTATTGTAAATGTGGCAACTGAAAGCGTTTTGGGCAAACAAACTTCATATTTCTAGGAGAACAGTTAATATGCTGCTGAGCAGAAACATGGTAATGTAGCTAGCAATTAGTGTATTCAATAATTGTGAAGTAACATTCATTATTTGGGGATATATTAAGTGTGAACTATACACAAGTCACAGTGACTTGATCATTTGTTGAGCAACGTGAATCCATGAAACAGCCTGCCATGAAATTCTAATGAGTCATGCATCAATAAAGCATAACTTAAGTAGCTATATAATGTAGTGTACCCTTATTAAAAAGAGTTACAGCATTATTTGTAAATAAATCACATGAATGTCTACATGGTAGGCTTTATTTATGGCAAAAAGTTTCATTAGTTTCTCTGAAGCTCTATCATGAAGAGGAGCTTGTGTCTGGGCTGAACCGCATACAAACATTGATGGGCTTCTTTGGTAGATTTGATCCACTGTAAATTAGCTCCACCACAACAATTTTGAAGTATAATCCTGTGATGTATTTCCTCTCACAGGTACAGGTTTGCCATTTGACAAAAGAAACCATTGGTCAGGGGCTCTCATTGCTTTGCCGAACAGGAAATGGACTTGGACATGCATTCGTCAAAGTGGACCTAATAGACAAGTAAGGGAACAAAAATACAGAGCTAAATGGGTTACCTTTGCTTGACTGGTAATACTAATTTTCAGGTTATCATTGTTTATGGCTATGTTTTTGATTTTATTAAATTTTTTGTCACTCCACAGAGGACTGGATGACATTGCTTCAATCGGAAGTTTTATCCACCTACGTTTTGTGGATGTATCCAACAACCAGCTGACTGATCTTTCTCATCTGGAATCTCTGACCCATCTGCTCTGGCTGAAGGCAAGGACTCGTCTTCTGTATTAATTCTGATCTCTGGGGCCTGTAGTACAATTCATTCAAAGTTATGGAAAATCCTTAATTCAATGTTCTATAGGTTGACAATAATGCTGTTGCAAGCTTCAAAGGGCAACCTTTTGCTCAGTTGACCTACCTGCAGCGGCTGAGTATGGCAGGGAACAGAATAACAGAACTGGATGGCCTGGTTGGGCCTGCCTTGGAGAGCCTCAATCTTACAGGTTGGTCTGTTGGTTTTATGTCCGAATATGTGATGTTTCTATTATAATGGTGGGCTTTCATTTAGTCTATTGATGCAAGACAATCTTACCATCTGCATGATATAAAACAGATATCTTGACATTTTGTGAACTCTCTGGCAGGTAATGGCATTCAGAGATTGAACGGTTTTCAGAGTGGCTGTTTTGCCAACTTGGTAACTCTGGAGCTGAGGGGAAACCAGTTGGATACCACTGATGGCATTAACCTTCCCAACCTGCAGCAATTATATCTGGTAATAAAAAACTACCATTTGATAAATATAACAAACACATTTGATGAGGTTAAGCCATTAACACCAATCTCAGTCAGCCGACTGCCTGTAACTTGTCTTACTTTCCATTCAGGCCCAAAATGTTATCAAGCATCTGGAGGGTTTAGAGAGGATGGAACGCCTCACCACACTTCACCTTCGAGACAACCAGCTAGAAACTCTGGACGGCCTCAGTCCCAACATGAAGTGTCTCCAATACCTCAATGTCAGGTACACATGTGAACAACATAGACTGTCATCAAGGCAGTAAAACACCAAATAAATCTATATATCCAAGATTGTTTATCCTAAATGCTTCCGTCTCTCTCCCTTAGAGGCAATGCAATATTAGAAGAGAATGCCCTGAAAAGCCTCGCACTTGTGTCAAAAACTCTGCGAGCTTTGGTGCTTACTGATAATCCTCTGGTGGAATCGACAGACTACAGGCTGAGTGTACTGATGCTCCTGACACAGCTGGAGCGAATTGACAAAGATCCTGTCTCCCCTGAGGAGATGGCTGAGGCCAAGGAGAGAATCAAGGTAAAGCTAAGAAAGACCTTATTTCTCTATTTGGCATGGTCAGGCATACATTTCTGCTCTATTGTTTTTTTTCTTACTGCATGTATTTCATTCCAGGAACTGAAAGAGGAAATGTCTGAGCCATAAGATTGCAATGAGGAAGTGTTTTACCTTGAAAACACTGGGTTGGTTGGTGTTTGTAGGTGGGTGTGTTGAAACGTATTGTAGTATACGGTATATTTTGAGTTTCTTATATTTGTATCTGTAAATGTGTTGCCTACATTATGGATTATTTTGTCATGTTCTAACAGCCTATTTATTTTTTCAATAATAAACATTTGAAAACGTTTATTTCTGTGGTGTTTATTGACATAAAGTGAGAAAATGCAGACAGTCAAGCTGTGACAAAGCAACCTTTCAGTGACTAGGCAGAGAAAAAGTGTATTTGAACCTTGTGCTGCCTGCGGGCCATACTCTCCTTTGTTTCCCTGAGTAAGGATGAGAGGGCAAAATCCACCACCATATTCCTGTTGGCAGCCATCCAGCTTCAGCTTTAAAGAGACAGGCACATGCAATGGATATGTGTGGAAATCCTTTCTTATGTTTAGTCTACACTGAGCTAAACTGTAATACAAATACATAGTATGCACATTATTTCTGATAATACAATCTTTCTAATAAAGTTAATGTTGCCACCATAGACTGTATATATAAAGGTTGCCACACATTAACATGGTACTGTTGCCGTAACCAGGAAGTCCCCTCTTAGAAAAGATTGCCCATTTTATGTCTCCAAAGTGGTGGATGCAATTTCAGTCGTTCATGATAATTTCAAAAACAAAGCCATAACTACTCAACTGTCTTTTATATTGTGTCTATCTGTATTAATACTCGTGTTTCACGTCCACAGTGATTTGCTCATTGAAAAGGAAATCACCACAAAAGGTATCACCACATGTGTGTAACTTTAATGGGCTGAACATGAGTCCTGAAAGAAACGTCTCGTGCGCAACTAGCCCCATACTGTTCCTCCAATGACTGGGTCAGGTGGGCGTGTCTGAGAGAGGAGACATAAGTCCCGTCCTCTCTTACCTTCCTCCTCCTCCTCCTCGGTTGTACTTGGGCAGCTAGCAGCGGCGCAGCTTTGAACCAACAAACCTACAAACCCGGCAAGCACCTGTGTGATTAACAACATTAAAACTTAACTTAGCAAGCGCTGTTCTCAAGAAACAATCCAGCAACCATGACTAGCTACCACAAACCCGATGAGAAAACCCTGCAGGGACTGAAAGACATCGCTAACAAGCTCAGGATCAACTCCATCAAGGCGACATGCGCCTCCAACTCTGGGTAAGTCATTCAAAGTTACTGTGGCTTGTTTGTTAATATTACGTTACACATGAGAAAAGTATTCAGTTAGTGTAGCGTTACTGTAGTTTACTTTACCTGCGGGGTCGGTTACACGTGCAGCGGAATATCTTCACGCGGTGCAGACCGTGCAAAGTGTGGCCAAAGCAGACAGCTAGCAAGTACTTATGCTAACTGTTTCATAAACATGTTAAGCTCCTTTTTGAGCTAAATGTGTCTAGGTCTATAGTCAATGCTTAGGCTAGCATAAGCTAACAGTTTGTGCCATAAATGAAACCAAATGGCAGGGTCTGTATCAATAATAAGGTTGGATACAGTAGTCTTCAGTGCTATTGAGCTGATAATTCATTCTCTTTCATAACTCTGTAATGCTACTAGCAAGGATGCTAGATTAAATATGTCGTTATAGCACCAGCCTGCTTCTAGCTAACAAGAAACCACATGATCATGCAGGGGGAATCTCGTGGTCAGTTTCACACTTTAATTTAAAGCAGCTGCGTGCTAAAATGCAAGAGAGATGCATATACACACACACAATAGTTTCAACTTCTTTCAGGGGAATCTGTCAAGTATGATAGACACGCACGTCAAATGATCACCTGTAGTTTTGATCTGAATTCCCAGAAGCTTTTGTCATCCTGCAGTCCTCCTCCTCCCATTGTCACTATGGAGTGAACCTTGTAATCCGCATGCGGGAACAGTTTCCAGGGTTTCCTTATTGGCAGGGGTGTAACAAACACTGAGATTATGAAGGCTGCCCTTTGCTCCATAGTATTCTGTGTGTTCGGCCTATTCTACACCCAGAACATTAAAACTGCAATCTACTCTTTCACAATGCATCAAAACTGCCTGTAATTGACATAATGCGTTTTGGAAGACTCTCAGTTGACACACATTAGCTGGCTGTCACATGTACCATACTATCATGTTCATCTGTTAAACTTCTGTATGCAGGAAGGTTTTTAACTATGTCATTGTTGTCTTACTATTTAGCTTTTTACAGAAAATAAGTAGCTTTATGTAACACTTTTATAGTTTATTTCATTCTTTGTGTCTTGTTTATTAGCATCCAGTACACAAAAGGACAAAATAAGCCACATTTTCCAATTGTTCTTTAAGCACCAAAGCTTTTCTTTCATCACGTTATATGGATATACAAACATACTGTTTTAAAGTCTCGCCATTTGAAGTTTATAGAATTGACAGAATTTAAGACTGCACAAAATAATGTATGAAGCATGAACCTTTTGACATCCAGTTAAAACACACGTGTTTTCAAACAGAATACATGTTTGAGAACAAGGGGGTTTATCATTAAAGAGGAAATCTTTCTATTAAATATTTAAATTTGTTAAAAGAATATTCTGTAGTTGTCTAAGTCTTTAGTTGTTTCTAATGTCTAGGCCTTTTACATTGTTTGTTCCTAAAAAAATTGTATATTCACTTTGCTGTTTCACTTTGTAGTCATTATTATTTTATTTATTTTAAAATTGATTACAAAGATTGTAAAGTTTGATAAAAGTCAAATGTATCATCTGACAATCACCTGGCCATGTTCATCACGTTTGGAGTTCTCCATAGTATCATTAAAAGGATTCATTGTATTTGCTCTGCATTCTCCAAAAAACCCAGAATTGTGTAATTTACTTGTGCAATTTAAACCTTCAGAAAGGAAATGTTTGTTGGTGAACCGGTTTTTGGTACTTCCTTGTATCAACTGACAAAGAAATGGAAGAACTGTTACCTGAACGTCCCGACAATGAGGAAACTGAAGATGTGACTGTTTCCCTTAACAAAGATGCTTTTGACTTTTGACATCCAACTCTCAACACCTGTTATGATTTTATTGATATGGAACATTAAACACGAGTATCTGATTAATTTCATAACGGCTTTTATGAATTTACTTAAGTCTATTTCTCGGCAGGTTATCACTCAACAAAAGGAAATTGGGTAAACAGAGCACTGGGTTTTTGATTGTGAAATATAACAACGATCATCATGTGTGTTTGATGAAGATAACCGTGTGTTCCGGCATGAACAAAATGGCATTTGTGATTTAACCCACTTGGGGAAGTAAAGATGCTTTTGAGAAATGTGGGATTTCTAAACATGTCGCTTGCAATACTTGAACCACTATGCTGCAACTAACAGTTTCACAAATGTATTTTTTTAATACATTTTTTTAATAATTGCACTAGAGTGTGGAAATATATAAGTGATATCATGTTAAGAGATTAACATTATATTTTCATGCGTGGTTCTAATACCAAAAGATCTGAGGTTTTGAAAATGTGTAAATAATTGCTTGTTAAATGTATCTGTTTGAATGCCTTTTCAGAAATGACCGTTAATGTCAAACTAAAACAAAGTGTGCGGTTTCCTGAATGTAGCAACACATGCATGTATATATGCACGATTTGGATTTGGATCTAAATAATTGTATTTTTCCTGTGATGTGTTTTTTGAAAGTACATGTTCTCCTCTCCCCAGGCACCCCACATCCTGCTGCAGTGCAGCAGAGCTCATGTCTGTGCTCTTCTTCAACACCATGCGCTATAAAGCCGAAGACCCTCGTAACCAGTGCAACGACCGCTTTGTGCTCTCAAAGGTTGGTTATTTTTTTCTTCTTGAGAGACTGATATTCTTAACTTGGTCAGAACAAATTATCTGTGGTATTGCTATTGTCTTCAAAGACTATCCTCTCTGTTTCTAGGGCCATGCTGCACCCATCCTGTACGCTGCCTGGGCCGAGGCCGGCTACGTGAAGGAGTCTGATCTGCTCAACCTGCGCAAGATCGACTCTGACCTGGAGGGCCACCCCACCCCAGTAAGTCACCAATCCGGTTATTTTATGGTGTTCATGTTTAATTGGGAAACAGAATATAGTCTAGAAGTTAATTTGATATATAAAGTATAACTTTTTTTCCCCCTTTACTATTCACCAGAAACTGGCCTTTGTGGACGTGGCTACAGGATCTCTGGGACAGGGTCTCGGGGCTTCCTGCGGGATGGCCTACACTGGCAAATACTTTGACAAATCAAGGTATATATTTATTAACATCAAAGGTTTAAACTACTTGCAATAATTCTTATCCTGGTTTATAGTGATCTGAAACAGTCAGTCTTCAGCATTAGTCAAACTGCATCCTTTTTATTACCGTAAAGGTAGGGTAGGTAAGAATGGAGAAACCCGCTCGAGTAAGCTAGAATTTGAAAGCACACAACTGAAAAAAATCTGCCCCTTCCTTCAGACTTCCTTACAGAGCCCCTCCTCCACACACGAACCCGCACATGACTAATGAGGGCACGAGATAAGTTTGTGCACGAGATGGAAGGCTGACAGGCAGGTAGGCCATCCAATTATCTGCTGCGGGCCGAGGCAGATAATTGGACTTGCTTTTTACAGCGCCACGGCTTCCACAGATGAAATATTTGTATATATTTATTGTCAAAGCATTTCATTTATTCATTGCTATCGGGATGTTAAGAGCACTCCATGGAATATAACAAAAAGTGTTTCTGAAGTGAATTACCTACCCTACCTTTAAGTTCGAAGTAGATGTGCAGGGGTTCTCTAGTACTTGATACTGCAACTAGACTCTTTCTGGAATTCTTTAAATGTCATACATGTGCCTACACTTGCAGGCAGGTATCCGTTTCCTTTTTAAGTTGTGCCTGTGCTGCTCTGTAATCAGGTTAACAGAGCAAACCTGCAGTAGTGACAGGAGCCTGCAGTTAAGCCATCAGTATTATACTCCAAATTAGCAAACATTTTACTGAGTGATTTATGTCCCTGAGACTAACGCCTTATTTATCTTATTTGCTCCAAATGTAAGGGCTCCAGTTCTATAGTTTCTTATTTTAATTCATTGGTGAAAATCAAGATGCAGATCTGTTTGTCTGGGTTTTGGTAGATAATAGGATGCAACTGTTACTTTTCAACTTTAGTGTAAAAATGGTATGAATTGCTTCTTCCAATTAAGTTTGTCTGACTTGTATCTTATGTAATATCACTCAGTCAAGACCACTTTTATTCTGAACTGGGTTAGAACTTCTGCAGCCCTGTGTTCTGGCCTTTAACTTCCCTTTGGTAATCTAACTCGACAGACCTTTTCAGTAGCTTTCGTGTTATGGTTAACTGTTACATTTGTTAAATCACACTAATATTCCGGTTTATACATTGTGTTGCAGTTACCGCGTATACTGCATGATGGGAGATGGAGAGTGCTCAGAGGGCTCAGTGTGGGAGGCCATGGCCTTCGCCTCGTACTACAAGCTGGACAACCTGGTGGCCATCATGGATGTCAACCGGCTCGGTCAGAGCGAGGCCGCTCCCCTGAAGCACGACATGGAGGTCTACCGCAAGCGCTGCGAAGCCTTCGGGTCAGTGCCAAGACTCCACTTTATCTAAGTTCATAGGAAACATTATGATATGAAAGCCTTTATTTAAAAATGCCTCTTAATATACTATCAAATGTAACCGTTGCCATATTTGTATAGTGTATCCATCTGTGTGGAAGCAGTTTTTTTTTAATATTGAATTGTGAAACTTCTTTATCTCTCAAATTGCGTTTTCACATGCTTGCTGGACTTGCTACACCCTCCTTTGGCCTCTACGCCTCTTGTTTTTTTATCTCTGCTTACCAGTTAATAAGCGCTCAACATGCATGTTCCAAAGTTCATACATCCCTGTTTTTTGGGTTAATAATTGGTGGGTTGATTTTAAAGCTATGCCCTCTTTTTGCAGATGGAACACGTATGTTGTGGATGGACACGATGTGGAGGAGCTGTGCAAAGCTTTCTGGCAGGCTAAGCAGGTCAAAGACAAACCCACCTGCATTGTTGCCAAAACATTCAAGGGCAAAGGACTCAAAAGTAAGTGTGGCTTTCATATGAGAATTATTTTATTTGAGTCTCTGACATACATTTGAGGCTTGTTCATTTCTTGGCTGTAGATATTGAGGATCTTGAAAACTGGCATGGAAAGCCCATCCCTAAGGACAAGGTGGACGGCCTCCTGAAGGAGCTGAAGGCTCAGATCCAGGTCCCCAACAAGACCCTGTGCCCTGAGCTGCCCAAAGAAGACACTGAACCCGCAGACCTCAGCCCCATTGCCCTGCTTGCACCCCCGGCATACAAGAAGGGAGAAAAGGTACCTAAACACTGGTCAATTGTGTTCCTTTTTTTTATGCTGGCTAGTGTGAGCAGACTAGATTGTTTTTGAAACACCTGAAGTGCATATGGTAAGGGTTTTTGTCTATCTGTCTTTGCGTCCACTCATTTCCTTCCTTCTCCATCAGATGGCAACAAGGCGTGCATATGGCGTGGCACTTGCCAAACTGGGCGAGGCAAGCAAGAGAGTGGTGGCCCTGGATGGAGACACTAAAAACTCCACCTTCTCAGAAACCTTCAAGAAGGCCTTCCCTGACCGCTACATTGAGTGCTTCATCGCTGAGCAGAACATGGTACGCAATATTTACGTCTTCACGGGGCATTTTTAAAGGCGTTTTTGCATTTGCTAAGGGACCAAACGATTAACTCCAACTTATGAAAAGGGATAAATATAGTTCAGATTTAACTCTTCACTCCCATAATCTGCTAAACTAGTCTAATCTGTTTCTACTCATTCTCTAGCATGATAATCCCATCCTCTCACTTCCGTTATCAAGGGTAACGCTAACTGATGTCTTAACTTGCTGCTGCAGGTGGGAGTGGCCATTGGCTGCGCCACCCGGGACCGCACGGTTGCATTTGCCAGCACGTTTGCCGCCTTCTTCTCCAGAGGCTATGACCAGATCCGTATGGGAGCCATCTCCCAGTCCAATGTGAACCTGGTCGGCTCCCACTGCGGAGTCTCCATCGGTAAGCTGAAGAGTCATTTGATTTGTCACAGGGCAAAGTGAGTGTTCCCTGTACCTGACTGATCTTCTCTGCCTTCAGGGGAGGACGGTCCTTCCCAGATGGCCCTGGAGGACTTGGCCATTTTCCGTGCTATCCCAACATGCACTGTGTTTTACCCCAGTGATGCAGTTTCCACAGAGAGAGCTGTTGAGCTCTCAGCCAACACAAAGGTGGGGTAGGCCACCTTGTGGTAGAACATGGTGTCCAATATGTTGTCTTAACATTGCTGGAGTATCATTCTTATCATCTCTCTACATTTCCAGGGTATCTGTTTCATCCGTACCAGCAGACCAGACAATGAAGTCATCTACTCTCCAGATGAGAAGTTTGAAGTGGGCATAGCCAAGGTGATGATCAATACAATTATTTTACACTTTATTATTATTATTATTATTATTATTATTATTATTATTATTATTATTATTATTATTATTATTATTATTATTATATGTAGCTTTTAGCAACAAAAAAGCAATTGGAATGGACACCAGAGCATTAATGTATATGTTTAAATGTCTGCCTAACAGGTGGTGCGCCAGTCTGACAGTGATTGTGTTACTGTGATTGGAGCTGGTGTGACTCTGCATGAGGCCCTTGCTGCTGCAGACATGCTGGCCAGTGAAGGTGAACACACACTGGATAGATGTAGGCATTAAGCCTGACATTTATAAGCACCACACCTAACTGTCATGTTTATTATACTATACCAGCTAACCACACAGCTGATGACCTGCATCCCCTTAATAACAAAGTATCGATTTGCTCATGTACTTTATAGGGAAGAACATCCGTGTGATCGACCCGTTCACCATTAAGCCTCTGGATGCCGCTACTATTGTGGCAAGTGCCAGAGCCACAAAGGGACAGATCATCACTGTGGAGGACCACTACAAGGAGGGTGGGTTGATTTCTGTTTCTATATGCCCTTTTTACATATTGAAATAATTCAATATAATATGTATCAGTGATGGTGTTTTGTGCAAAGTTATTCCTCAATCTACCAGGGTCCATTAGTAGATCATCATAATGTTGTCCCTTGTTGTGATGGTATGTCTCCTCTGTCCAGGTGGTCTTGGTGAAGCCGTTCTGTCAGCTGTGGGCGGGGAGCCCGGCATTGTTGTGACCCGGCTTGCAGTTTCCGGTGTTCCCCGCAGCGGGAAGTCCACAGAACTGCTCGACATGTTCGGCATCAGCGCCAAGCACATTGCTAACGCCGTGCGTAAGACCTTTGCTAACTAAGGACTGCACCTTGTCTCCTGCGCTGTAATCTCACAACAAAACGTATGCCTCATCTTGCAGCTACCCAAGTGCTATCTTTGTGGCTTTGGCTTGAGCGAAGTGTGTGCTCAACCTGTATTGTTATTACCGTCACAGATGGAGAGTAATGGGAATAGGAGGGCAGTGTTATCGAAGCCTGTAGTGTAATATTACTCCCTCTTAAGCACCATCTAAAACCCTTTTCTCCCATTTGCTGTTGCAACGTTCCTTTAGTTGTATCATGTTTTCAAAACAGTGTCTTCACTGTAGCTCTGACATCACTTAATACTGTAAACCCGGTATCTTTACAGATTTAAAAACCTAAGTAGTCGCCCAGGTTCTGATCCATTGTGAACCGTCATGGCTTCTGTTCTGTGTTACCATTTACATTTCTTACAACCATGCATCATGTCTTTTCTCTTGACTGGCATCCTTTCTTAAGAAGCACTGTTACTGTTTGTCTTAAATCTAATGTTCTAGACCAGTTTTGCGGTTGTGTTCGTTCACAGCTTTTTGAAGCTTAGCTGTGTTGGAGAACACTTCTTTCAGATCCAGTGTGAAATTGTTAACCAATTTTTTTGTTTTGAACCGTTTGAGCATTCCTCTAAAGATTCCTGGCTTCATGGGCCCACACAATGTTACTGGCGTTACAGGTCACTGGTGTCATTCCGTTATACATGTTGTGCTGAATAAAAAAGAATTAACCCAATGCCATTGTGTTAGTATTTTTTACCGCCCCTCTAGCGAAGTGGTTCAATGGGTGGCAAAGTGAAAGTCCACCACATCGGGCCAGACTCGAGTATCAACTATTGCAGTGCAATTTTGCACAGATATTCCATTAGTTTGGAGAATATCACTTAAAGGTCCCCTATTATACTGTTTTTCATCAATATATTATAGGTCTCGGATATATATATACAAAATATGTCTCCAAATACAAAACAGATCATTGCAGCATCCCATAATCCCCTCTGTTTCAGGCCTGTTTCAAAAGTGCTGATTCTGTGTCTGTTACTTTAGATGAAAATAAGGAGCCACTCCCAATGCCCCTCTGCTAGATATTTGGTTAAAAAGAACACAATGCCAGAGTGTCTTGTGGAGGCCAACTCATGTCGATCCACGTCACTTCAAGCCCTCGCGTGTAGCACTCTGCCCCTTTCCCCCTCACAATTCACATCTAACCCCGTTGTAATTGGCACTTTAAAGATCTGGGCACAAGTTAGACGTCACTTTGGTTGGCTTACTCTTCCTCAAGCGACTCCTGTCTGTAACAACCATCTATTTTTACCAGCCCAATTGACCCCCGATTTTCTCACTTGGAAAGGGAAGGCCTCCACTGCATAGGGGAGTTATACATTGATGCCCTGTTTGCCAGTTTTGACCAACTACGGGTTGCCTTTAATCTAAAAGGATCTGATTTCTTTAGATACTTTCAATTAAGGGATTTTGTTAGGCCCACTCTCCACAATTCCCCCAATCCCTGCCTCCCAGTGGAGTGGATCTTGTACTTAAAGGGGACCTATCATGCAAAATGCACTTTTGTACGTCTTTTATACATGAATACGTGTCCCCGGTGTTCCAGGGAACTCACAAAGTGTCAGAAAACACAACCCTCTCTATTTTCCTCCATACCCAAAGCTCTAAAAAAGGGGCTGCAATGGATCTGATAAAAACTGATCCAGATTTGAACACTGTCAGGACAGTGGCGCTACGGCTATTGGGTCAACTCCACCAATCAGGAGGAGACAGCCACGGCCATTGCCGTTCGGCAAGCGTTTGCTCCCGCTGCTTTAATTCAATGCAATGCACTGTAATTCTCTCCGGTTAGTCCACCAGCAGATGACAAACACCCACCTTTCCGCCTCTTCCAAGGAACGAGGGGACCGTGCGGCAGAGTTTCAGTTTGTTTCGCCGGTCAAGATGTCCGTTAAAGTTGAAATCTTCCGGACAAAATTAGAAAAGTGCCGGTCAAAGGTCTTCTTTGTTATTTATTGAGCTTTAAAACAAATGAATAACGACTCTATATAATAAAACACGGAGGACGGAGATCTCTTTTTCTCCCCCTCTTCTGACAGCCCAGCTGCTGATCAGAGCACGTCTCCCCTCTCCTGCAGGGGGGCGTGGTCAGCAGAATCAGACCCGTAGACAGCAAACCGCACATAGAGCGAAATGAGGCATGGCTAAAATGCATGATCTGTTTGGTATTTCGAAAACAGAAACGTATAAATATACCTTATATAGGTATGGCCCTACAATATATCATTTAAATATAGCATGATAGGTCCACTTTAAAGCAAGAACTTTGTCTAGGTGCCATTTCTCTTATTTTTATGATCTTTTTTCTCTGGTTGATGAATCTGCCATTAACAAGATTAGAACTAATTGGGAAAAGGAACTACAGTTCACCTTCTCTGATGACTTTTGGAAGGAGGCCCCGAGAGCCGTTAACTCATCCTCCAGTTGCGCTAGACTCTGCCTAATACAGTTTAAAGTTCTCCATAGACTACATTATAGCAAGGCTAAGCTCTCCAGGATTTATCCAGATAGATTGGATGACAGGTGTGATAGATGTTCCCAGGCCCCCTGCAACCTGACTCACATGTTCTGGTTGTGCCCTAAATTATCTAGCTTCTAGCAATCTTTCTTCGAATGTATTTCTGAAATTGTAGGTCTAAAAATCTCTCCATCCCCTCATGTAGCTATTTTCGTAGCTAAGTTTACTCTCCGGGGTTCCTCAGATAAGTTTTACGCTCATTGGAGGCCACTGATCAGCTATGTAGACCGTCTTCCCCCTGATATGGTGTCGCTGTAGGGATTCTCCCTTTATCTGTCTATAATTCCGATATGATTATTCCCCTGTCCGCCACACATGCAGCCCGTGTGACATCCCTGGATATATGTGTTAGTATGTGTACATGTATGTATGCAGGTATGTGTATGTGCATGTATATTATTGTATCTATCATTTGGTATGTAATTGATGTACTGTTGCCTCAGTGCTCCGGGAGAGGGGTCGGTGGGATGGGTTGGGATGGGGCGGGGTTGAGGGAAAGTGAGTAAGGGTTCTTTTGGGAAAAAAATGAAAATGCCTGAAAAAAATTGCTGTAATGCACTGTTACACTTTTTTCGTGCGAATAAAAATATTTTGAAAAAAAAAAGAAAAAATAACACAATGGTGCTCTAGGAGAAGATTCAGGTGATAAGGTGGGGGGGGGGGGTTACCTTGGTTGGTTATTGGCTAATGGTTACACAAGCCAAAAAATCATGACATCAAGTGGCCAAAATCTGATCAGCTCATTTTCAGACAGGTTTTTATATAAATGGATCAGGACGAAAAGTGAGCGAATCTTTTTTCCTGAAACTTTCAGAATCTCTTTACACAGAGGGGACACATGTTGATGTGAAAAAGGGGATTTTGCATAATAGGTCCCCTTTAAGTGATCAGTTGACTTTGCAGGTTGTATCGTTCACGTATCCTGTGAAATATGTCAATCTACTGGATTGGCACCGCATCTTGTAACCAGATCATCGATTCTATTCATATGATATTCTGCTAGCAAATGTTAACATGCAAAGGTGCTGAACTTTTATGTTGACCATCGTTAATATACAACAAAACAACCTCAGTGTGATGGACAGCCAACTTTGGTAATGATCTTAAAGCACAACTGTACAGAAGTACTATCTCAGAGCTTTGAGGCTGTAAACTACTTTGTTTTACTACTATCAGTTTTTATACATGTGGCGTATTCAGATACCTGTCATACATGTTTTGAGGACTTGCACTGGTCAGACTTTTAAAGACACTTTAGAAACAAGGTAGTAGGTTTGTGTTCTGATTGTAGAGAAGGGAAAATTCCTTTGTCTAAAACAGACACTAAATAAGGTGATGTATTTCAATTTGAATCGTAGGCCTGTGCGACATTCTCTGCTATGGAAACTATTAATCCTGGGTGTTGTCAGACTGAGGTTAAGCAAGGGGTTGAATGTGGTCAGTGGTTATTGCACTCTCCTGTCAAGAGCCAAATGAATAGTCTTTGGAGGCATCACTGTTTACCTTGGAAGAGCAGGTTGTGTTCTGAGTTTCACCGTGTACTGTTAACTTGTCCAATGTACTATTTGGAATATTTTGGGATTCTACTGTTGAACAGAGAACTAAACCAGTCATGAATAAATACATATAATAAACCCCTAATTAAAATTAAATGATAGACATATTTACAGTCTTGTTATTGACACAATCTCTTGTGTCGAACATAAAAACACACACACATTTTGAAAGATTTAGTGTGCATGCGTGTTGTAACTGACCAAATAGAGAGGGTCTGTCTGCAGGTTTCACCCCACAGTGAAAATCCCAGTTTGGCTCAACACTCAGCCAGTGGCACCTGCTTTGCTACGCTGTGAGTGTGAAGATGTACACGGTGCAAGACGACATGTGTAAGCATCACAGTTAATGTGCGTACAAACAGTATTGTTTGTACAGGGTGTAAAACGGGTTCATTGTCCACTTCTCAGAGTTCATGTTTGTTTTCATACATAGATGCTAGTGGAGCTTCGCCAAACATGGTTGGCTCCGGCATGAACTGTCTACCAACCCTGTCTCTTGTTTGGAAATGACCCAAGGTCAGTCTGATTCAGTCAGGAGAAGACTTAGAGCTGACGGTGGATCACAAATTCATGTGTCAACCCACATGACTAGAATCTATCACATGTGTATGAAACTGTATTCCAGTATCTGTTTTTTGCCACCTGTCTATCTTCCATCTCCTCCACAAATATCTGTTTTCCACCTGATGTTAGCAGACAGTTATGAAAGGGTGAGGAGACAAGAGGTAGCAGGGCGGGTCTGTGTTTTTCATGGTGCTAAACGAGGACCTGTGTTAACAATGTGAGAGTTTATTTTTTTTACCTCTCCGCCTCCTAGATATTCCTTTTCCTCCTGCTCTCTCTTCATATAAGCATTCACTCTGAGTTGGGGGCAAGTGAAATGTGGTTAGAGAAACTGCACTACAGCTTTTGCTACATGTGTTTATGGGGATAAATCGTCTCTGTTAAACAATTTCTTCCACAGTTTCTTTCCTTTGGCAATACCGTCTCTCCTTTCTCTGGACTTCAGTCTTGAAGATTTAAAGGTTTTGGACTTATTTCTACAAGAGCTCAAACTGAGTAAACTTTTAACAATGCAGATGCCAGCGATATGGATCACGTTCATTTGTCTGTGTGGCACAGTTTTTTGTGGACACAACTCTTTACACGACATGGATTTATACTTGGAAACCTCTTCTGAGTCACATGAATTAGAAACGGCAGCCGTTCAACAAACAGAAGTTGATAGAGGAGTGACCTCACTAGATACATATGCTTCGAGTCGAACCCTCCCCGCAGGTACGTTTATTTTTGATTATTTCAAGAGCTGCCTGTTTATGTCTGCATGATCTGACTAATACATGTTTTAAAAACTAAAATAGCTTGATATTATTTACCATAGATTGCAGAGTGATTTTTTTTTTCTTATGTCTTTAATTTGTTTGTTTGGTCTGCTTTATGACTGGTGAAGAGGAGAATGGGATTGAGCATCTCCAGATGGAGGCAGGGCAGCAGAGGGAGCATCAAGGAGCCGATTTTAGGATGCTGGAGGCCAGACAAAGGAGAGGTGTCTGGTGGATGAGGAAGCACGCAAACGCAGTGGAAGCCAGTGCCTATAGAATAGTATGAAACGTTACTATTGACACATTAATGTATATCTTCCATGTGGGCAGTTTGTTTAAACATATTACACCTCTGTTGTATGTTGCTTTGCTCCTTTGTTGAATAATTTGAGTGACTTGAGTAATTGCAGGCAGGGCTGGGGGAGCCTCTGACGGGCTGGAAGAAGCGCGGGAAAGGAGAGAATGAGACCAGCACCCTCATGACTGAACTGAAGGAGCTCCATGATGAGAAGCAACGACTGATGGATCAAGGGAATGCAGGAGAGGGAGAGGAGGAGGAAGAAGAAGAAGAAGATGATGATGATGATGACGATGATGATGATGACGATGATGATGATGACGATGATGACGATGATGATGAGGAGGTTTGATTTTGTATTAATTATATTGTTTTGCTTTTGCCCTTTGAATAATCCATGAAAATTGTTTTCTTGCTGTAATTTCTTTCTTAAATCTTCTGCATCAGGAAGAAGAAGAAGAGGAGGAGGAAGAAGAAGAGGAGGAAGAAGAAGAAGAAGAAGAAGAGGCAACGGAGATCCCCAGCAATCAAACAGAAACATACTCCACTTTTACAGAGTCTCCTCTTAGAGAGTGTCAGACTGCTGACAGAGAAATCAGCTGCAGGGGCGTCGGCTTGACTCACCTGCCAATCATCCACAATCTGCTGGCCACCAATCTGGACATGGCAGGTGTGTGTGTGTGTGTGTGTGTGTGTGTGTGTGTGTGTGTGTGTGTGTGTGTGTGTGTGTGTGTGTGTGTGTGTGTGTTTGTGTTTTTGATGGATGGTACAGAATAGAAGTGGACTCTCTAAAAAGTAAAAGAGCTGTGATATTGATTACATATAAAATGGTTAATTATTAAATAATATTATTTATTAAGGAGTCCAGTTGCTCTAAGTACAACGTTGATGCCATTAGCCATTTTATTTTATCTTTTGAAAAATCACTTCAATCAGTAATACAAATGATTTAGCAAGAAACAAATAATTAATATTAAGCTAGAATAACAAAGTTCACTGAAGTTATTTAAAATACATCAAAACAAAATGTTGTGCACAGATTAATCTACATGACATGACCTGTGAGAGAGTTGAGTGTGAGATGTCGTATACAACCACTACATGTGCCACATATATCTTACTATGTGATTTGTCTTTAAAGAGAACAACATCAGAATCATCACTCCACAAGATTTCTCTGGCGTGCCGAACCTGGACACGCTGGACCTGAGTAAAAACAAACTGGATGATGAGTCGCTGAGCAGTAACCCGCTGTCTGTGAGTAACACCTCTCTTATTCACTGTCATTTTCCACAATCCAGTCTTATACTCATCTGCCAACACATCACATCTATAAAGCGTGTATGTCTAATCATGCTTGAATAAGAAATCTCACTTGCTACATTATGGTGCTACTGGGTGATACCTGCTCTTGCTTAACAGCTATTTTCTGAATTGTATGAGTTATAGTTTTGTGTCAAATTGATGTCGCCAAACTTCTGCAGTGCTATCAGTCTCAAATCTGTTGTATCAGACCTGAAGCACCAGTCCAGCCTGCTTTACCTTCTGCTATGGGAGTGTTACAACTGTAGTTTTTCCATTGAATGAACAAACTTACTGTCTTCAACTAAGGGAGTGTTACACATTTAAAAAATAGGAGAGGCATAGCCCATAGGTAAACAACCAGTCATGTTCAATGTAGGTACTCAGTTCGTGTTTTAGTTTTCTTCATGAAGCTACTTAGGTGGTAATCAAATCAATCAACACTTTTCTGATTGCCAAGTGCCTGAAAAAGTTTATTTTATGCCAAGATAGGGAACATAAATGTCACATTTTTATTTACAAATAGCTTAAATTATATTTTAAAAGCTATATTTTAAGCAAAACTGCAGTTTTTACGTTGACATTTCCACTAGGGGTTAGATTCACAGATTCAATCAACATTATTTTAGACACAGAAGTTAACATGTATTTAATGTGAACCACCAACATGGATATAAAGCAGAAAAACACAATATTAAAAAGAACGGCCGCTGCAGTAAAGCTCTGCAGCAGTTATTTTCCTTTCATAGGTGGCAAAGGTAGAATTGTTCTGATAATGACACAAAAAGCTCCCTCTTGTGGAGAATCTGCATTTTGCTAAACGTGAATGAACGACTTTCTGAGTAACAAAACAGTAAAAAGTTAACTTTGCATCTAATTAAAACAAAAAGCAGGCTGTATCCTGTATCATTACAGTAATAAAAGAGCACGGAAAATTGCATTAATCCTTTTCTAAGAATAACCTCGGGTCTAACCTCTAAATGACCACAGGCCGAGCTCAGATCCTGACCACACCGAGGCAGCCCACCACACTCTGACCAATCATCTCACGCTAACATCAGCGCACTCTCACAGCATTGGCTGGACAGACCTGTTGGGAAACAGCTGCAGCCAATAATGTGGAGAATAAAAGCAAATTATTTTTGGATGAAATCCTTTTTTCTTCTTGATTTTTCTGCTCACGTAACAGTAATGACAGAGGACTGATGGACTGGCTTGAGGGATGCTGCAAAAAGATTCAGTCCACTGCTTTTAGTTGACACACATCTACCACAGTGGCTTTCACTGAGGAGCCACACAGAGCGGCTTTACTAAAAATACAACATGATAGATGACATAAAAGAGATTCACAGATTTGGTCTGTGTCTGTGAACTCTGTGATTGTGTCCTTCTCGGCAAATCGGGATAGAAAATTATATATATATATAAGTATATATTTTGTTTGTTTTTCTTTCTGACCCCTTTTTTTTTTATGCAGGACTTGACCTTTCTGAAGAAGCTGAACCTAGATGGCAACAAGCTAACCAGGATCCCAGCGCTGCCTCCATCTCTGGAGCAGCTCAGGATCAACAACAACCAGCTCAGTACACTCACCCCTCACTGTTTCAAAGGTAGAGGATTGGTGTGTCTCTTTAAATGGAACAGGAACATATTTGATGACAATAATATAACTTAATATTCCTCTCTAGGTTTGACAAACCTGTTGATTCTGGAGCTGGAGGAAAACTTCCTCCATGAAGGCAGTGTGTCGCCGCTTACTTTCAGGCCACTACAGGGACTTCTGGACCTCCAGTTGGACAACAACCGCTTCCGTTCCCTTCCTCTGGGCCTTCCTCCCTCTCTGCAGGTGCAATAATATCACTTAACTGTAAATCCTCCTTAAAATATGTTAGGATTAGCCAAACGAGGCACCTGGGATTAAGACTTGTGCTCATGGTAGAAATTGACACGGGAATAACTGTCCCAAATGACACATCCTTGTCATTCTGTGTGTTCTTTATTGTAGGAGCTGGAGATAAATGAAAATCAGATTGAGGAGGTGACCAAGGAGGCACTGAGAGGCTGTGTCCATCTGAGAGTGCTGGACATGAGTCACAACCTGCTGCATGAGCAAGGCATCGCTACCAAGGCCTGGTCCAGTCTCAAGTACGTCTGTCCATCCTGAGCTTTTGATTTCTAACAATAATGCTCTGCAGTTTCTCCATCAGCCACAAGAGGGTGCACTGGTGTTGTTTGGGATTCACTTCATAACTCTTTTGTTATCAATGTTGTTGTCTAAGCAGTTATCAGTGAATGGGTTTATTAGTTAAAAGATTTAAAATAACAATTTCCATCATAAAAAAAACATTTTTATTTAAATTTCCAGTTTTAACACGCGTACAGGAGACATCTACAATAATTCCCCTGCCCCTCCCTCTCCACCCCACACTCAGAGATCATCTAGATATATATATAATTTAAAAAATAAAGTAGATTACACACTGCTACATCAAAGAGAAAACAACACTACACAAAAAACAGGTAATGACAATAAGTAGTCTGCAAGACTGTGGAAAACCGACAAACAGCTTCAGCATTGTACTATTGTCCTACAATAAAATACAAAATAGGCTAAAACAGATTTAAGCCAAGGGTTATCCCCGTTTTTTACACTGGTTAGATCATTAAAGTATATCAGTTATTTAAATTCCTACAACTTGGGATGTAAAAATGATCATGATCAGTACTTATGATTTATTTGGCTGAGGTTTTGACTGGGTTCACATTTGAAGAAATACTTATTGCCTATACTCTTCTTTCCCCCCCCCCTGTAAAATAGAATGGACACACACACACACACACACACACACACACACACACACACACACACACACACACACACACACACACACACACACACACACACACACACACGCACGCACGCACATCACAGAAGTTATGACAGCTGACCTTGTGTACTCGGATGAGCAGGCGTGTGAGGGAGAGCTTGAGGGCAACTGTGTGTCTGTTTGTGTATGTATGTCTCAATGTGTGTCTATGGTGGTGTGTGTGTCTGTTGTTTAAATATAGTGAATTCCTGTGGGTTTTTCTCTTTGCTCCCTGGGATCCTTGTGAACCACAGGGAAAAGCTTCAGGGAAAAGTGAGTGAAAAAAGAAAATTGTTAAAGAAAGACAGGAACTGGAGAGACTTGTGCAGACTGGAAGATTTATTTAAAATAAAACATGTGAAATTGGGAGAATATATTTAGAGGAAGTTTAGCTGAAGAAAGAATGAGATCTGGAACACAAATGGATACAGTAAAAGACCATACCAGAGAGATGATGTGACTAGGCAGCACTCTGAACCTTCACTTGACTTGTGACTCTAATGTATTTGACATCTGACATTTGACCTCATTAGTCCTACCATTGTCTCTGCAGGCTTAAGAGCTGGTCATTAATTTAAAAAGCTTCCCTGAGCAGAGACAAGAGAGTAGGAACAGATGTAACTTGACCTGAACTCCAATGACACAGCAGGAGCAGAAACTTTAAAGGGCAAAGGTCATTACCTGAGTGGCATTAAACCATATTCCTCCCTGTGGTTGGATAATATTTCATTATGCACACATAATGATTACATCCAGGAATAAAAGCTTGTGGAGAATGTATTCAGCTCTGCAGAAGTGCGAAGAGAAATATACAGAGAGCGATTAAAACGCAATGGGAAGTAAATTGTTAAAGATAAAATAAACTGCAGTGTGCTGGTTCTGGTTAGAGGGGCGCCTCTGTTCCATGTCACACACTCACTCAGTGTTATTGTTGCCTCCTGATGGGGTTCAGGGATTGGACCCGTGCAGCGGAGGTATCCGTGGAGGTTGCCTGATGTTGATCTGGAGAGTGCAGTTTGTACCTGGGATTAGTTTCAGGCAGGATGGGCTGACTGTCAGCATCTCAGCTCATTATCTGCCTTTTTAACACATCTCATCTATGGTCAGTACTGGGTTTGAATGCATTTATTATAGCAGAAGTGTTCCGATGTTCTATTTCTGAGATCCCTTTTTTTAAACTCAGTAAATGAATCCCAGTTCTGTCTTAAGTTTGTGTTCCTCTGTGTGTTTACAAAGGCTTCCAGTGTGTGACCATGGTGTAAGAATATGCACTTGCTTAACAACTAGTGGTGGGAATAATTACAGTCAGATAATGCCGTACAATTTGTAGGTTCTTATACTTGAGTATCACCATTATATAGTTCTTTAACTCCACAGCTTTTTAAGGAATATTATTATATTTTTCTTCTTCACTTGAGCTTTAGTTTGAAAGTTACTTTGATATGGCCATTTTACAAAAAAGATATACATTATAATATATACTAGATTTGAACTGAAAAAAACAACAAAAAAATGGTGGCATTGGTAATAATTAAACTATAATTATTGTATGAGTTGAAATAAGATGAAATAAGATAAACAACGTAAAAAAAGTATAAAAAAACAAAATGTGTGAACAGATTGAATATCAAATCAATATGTTTGCAGATATAATATATAATAGTGCACAGATATAAAATATTATTGATACATAAATAGATTAAATAGTTGTTAAATTATTAGTAGATTGAACATTTACAAATCTTCAATCTACTGGGAACATTTAAGTTGGTTAAAATCAGTTTCACCTCGATAGACTACAACATGGAAATATGAATTACATATCAAAAAGTTATTAATAATCATTAAATCTCACAATATACGTTAATTTAGCTCTCGCGGACCATTTTGATCGTAAGAAGAGTACTTTCAGTTTTAATACTTTAAGTAAGTTTTGCTGATAATATATCTGTACTCTATGATGCCACCTTTAGGGAACAACTAGCACATGTAAAAACACACACACAGACGCAGACACAGATAAGGCTGTTTGCCATCTTCTCCCGGCTCTTTATGAATCCTCTCATGAAAGCTGCATAAAAATTGCTCCAAAATTGTAACGTCATGGGTAATATGTTTTCAATTGCAGTTTTTATTAACGCTGTCAAACATTTTTATTGGTAAGATTTTCACAATGTTGATTGTCTTAAATGACGTAATACTTTATTATGTTCTACAGCTCAATATAAT